GCGACGACGTTGGGTGAGTCCTCGACCGGGCGGATAGCCCATGAATTTGTCTTGGCAGACGTTAGCGGAGTGGCCGAGGCGCTGGCAGTGGTTGCAACGAAGTGAGCCGTGGTTGCCGTCTTTCTTGATGTGGGCGGAGGATCCGCAACCAAAGCATCGTCCACGCATTGCTTGGAGGAAGTCCTCACGGGAACGGCCACTAGGTCCAACACGGGTCGCGTCGATGTCCATCGCATAGGGGTCACGGGCAGGGGCAGAGCGAGACGAGGCAGTCGGGGTCAAGAAAGAGGCGCTGCTTCCGTGAAACGTAAAATCGTTCTGGTTGACGATGTCGCAGTAGTCTGAAGGGTTCTTGGGCTTGGCATCGTCCGGTTTGGTGATGGCGATAAGATCCAGCATGAGGCGATCGTTGGAACTGAGTTTGCGACGAAAACGTGCCATACCATCCTTCTGGGATAGACCGGTGCGGGGAAATATCTCCATGAACTTAGCTGCGAACTGGGAAGCAGATTGTTTACCCTGGGTAAGGGCCTCGAGCTGGGCTTCAGCTGCTTTCTCCTGGTCGGCGGGTTGGAAGCGTTTCTTGAAGGCAGCCACAAAAGTGGACCAATCGCCACTGAAGGGCCAGGGGTGGGCAGCCTTCTGAGCAGCGTCGGCAGCAGCCTCGTGGGCGGCAATCTGATCCAGGTATTGGACAGCCCAGGAGGCAGCAGCACCCTGAAGGTACGAGAGGGCAGCTGAGATCCACTTCTTGTCATCTCCTTTGAGTTCGGACTCGGCGGAGGCCCAGTTGGTGAAATAGCGGAGGAATCGCTGGGTATCACCAGAGTCACCCTTGAAGGGCTCAGGCGCTTTGACGGGGCTTCTAGTGGAAGCGGTCTTAGCAGCCGTGAGCTTATCCAGGGATCTGCTGGATACGCCTGGTAGTCTCTTGTTGCTCGGCAAGTCAACTCTGAGATAGAGTGGTGTCGGACATACTGAGATCGGGGATAGGCTTATGCGGGTTTGGCTAACGGGGTCTTGTTGGACGAGCGGCAGAGAAGTGGGTGGGGATAATAAAGATGGTGATAAGGTGGAAGTGGGAGGTTCGTTATCTGAGCGTTGGGCAACAGACGTGTCCTCCGACTCCCTGGGGATGGGAAGTGGTGTGAGGGCGCGGCGAGGAGTGAGGGTAAGGGCTGTGGTGGGGGTGGAGTGTCCGGAGCGGCGGAGACTTGTTACTGCGGGAAGGGCTTCTGCTAACGCGGCGTAGGTAACGTGAAAGGGGACGGGTGTTTCGGAGTCTTCTTCTTCGGATTCGTCTTCCTTGTCGTTGTCGTCCTCTTCCTCACTGTCTTCTTCAGATGATGTTGACGGAGGGCGACAGGACTTCGGTGCGGTACTGGTGGTTGCTGTTACTGGGGCAGGGGTTAGAGTCGGCGAAATGGAAAGACTGGGGAGAATCTTCTGGTAAGAGCTGTGTGACGGTAGGCGGCGGAGTTACTGGTGAAGATTTCTTCTTCGATTCTTCTTTCTTGGATTCGGCAAATTCGCGGGCTTTTACGGCGTTGTCGGAGGTGCAAACAGCAGCGTAGAAGCTGGCTGTCTGGAGGCGTCGTAACTGGTGAAATGTGGGCCGGAGACTGAGGCGGTAGGGGCAGGGGGAACTGTCACACTCTACAACCTCTTCCTTGCTATCGAGGTGGCAGTCGATGCCAAACCACTTGTCAGGGTTGAGGTCTTTACTAGAGGCGAAGAAGTGTGGGTATCCTGCGCAGCTAATCTTGACGGTGTCGGAAAACCAGAGTTGCCAGAGTAAGACCTGATCGGCAGGTCAACCAGAGTGCCAGGGGATCCGGGATGCAGGGACAACGATCGGCGTTGCCAGTGCACAGGGGTAGCTTGACCTAATGTCGCGAAGAGCGAACACTAAACCAAACCAAACCTTGAAACCAGAGCGGAAGTGCCAGAGAGCTGAGAGCGACGAGAGAGGCGAGAGCGATGAGCGACTTGTAAGCCAGAAAGCTATGCAGATGTATTGACGAAGAGGTCAAGCTGAGGAAATACAGAGCAGACTACCTAGCTTATATACCTATTCTACAGTCTACATAGCCGCGATGAGTCAGAATGACGAACAAATAGTAGTAAAACGTCGAAGACCAATAAGAAAGGTCATGAGGCTGCGCGGAGGCTGCGCGAAGAACAAGGATAAAACAATAATGGAATGAGAAGACGTCAGAGTGTGTCAGAAGGCAGTGCGTAACAATAAGAACAATGGAAATAGGGCGAAGGGCAATACGAGGCAGTGTTCCATGAGTGAAAGAGTCCATAGAGGGAATAAAGAGGCGAAGGAATAGGGGAAAGCGAAATGATAAGATGCGAGACAGATCAGATAAGATAAAATGAAAAATAGGGGTTATACCGGCTGTTCACGACACGAGGGATCACAGCTTCCCCACTCTCCGTCGACGTAAGGCGCACAATATCCAAAATCGCATATCCCAAACCAAAGAACGCCAACGGGAACACCGATTCAATTAGTATACTCGCGATTCCTTTATATACCTTCACTTGACTTCGGTTGGGGAGGACGGAAGCGAGTTGGCGGTGGGCGCGGAGGAGGCGGAAGACGATGAGGGAGGTGAGGACGACGTTGAGGGAGACGGTGAGCATGACGAAGAGGGTGCTTGTTAGGCGGTCTTGGGTTAGTTGTTTTTCGGTGAAGGAGGAGGTTGAGGAGAGGAGGCCGCGGAGGACGAAGCGGGTTATTGTTACGCCTGGGGCGTGTGGTTAGTTTTGTGATTTCAATGGAGAGGGAAAGAGCAAAGAAGAGGGAAGGGTACGGACCTATGATCGAGAGGTAGAGGAGTGCGGGGAGGATGAGCGACCAGATGAAGTCTTTCCAGATTATATAACATCGGTATAGCTGCCAAGTTTCAAAGTCAGTCAAAACGTTAAACCTCGAGTTAAATCGAAAGTCAACTCACGAGCAGCCCATCTCCAAGTAAGATATAAACCTCCAAACACGTAACACTCAACAGCCTCGGCCACTGGCCCTCCAGCTCAAACGCAGCGGCATAATACTCCCGCGGGCCAAAGGCGAAGAACATGGCTGTAAAGTCCGTGTAGGCGTCGAGCACGGTCGCGAGGGTGGAGAGGAAGAGGATTATGAGGTTGAGAATGATGTAGGGGAGACGGCCTTTGCGGATGGACTTTGGCGCGTCGAGGAAGATGGAGATGCCGTAGATGGTCATGAATAGTTGGACACCTGGAAGCAGGTGTCAGTTACATTCGGCAGGGAGGGTATAGAGAGTGTGTGATATCGGGCGTACCGGTGCTGACCATCGCGACGTTGATCGAGGCGTAGAGCCCGCCTGCGAAGATGTGGGCGAAGCGCTCGCCGAGAGGGCCTTCTGGTAGGGACATGATCCTGCTGTTAGGATTGAGGGTTTCGCCTGGGAGGCGTGACGATAAGTCACTGCTGTTGCGCAATAAATCATTCTGGAGGTTATATAGTCCATGTATCGTTACGAGAGATATCTCGGAAGCAAAGAAGCCGCGTTTTCGTGAAATCAAACATCATCTTTCTTGGGTCCTGGGCGGCTGGGCCTTGGATATCGGCGGGGAGAAAGGGGAGTGGGAGTGTAAGAAATTCTGAGTCCTTGTAAGTACGTAAACCGGCAGTACGTGCGGTGTACGATGGATCAGGGGGAGTGAGGAAATGGGAAGACGGAACGTTGGACAGCCTGAGCGAAAGTCGAGAAAGCGTCGTGATACCGAGGTGAAACTTGAACTCGAGTGTCTGGCGATTGTCAGTACAAGTCTCTTTGAGGAAGTTCGTTGATTGTTTGCCCTGGAATTCGGGTCCCCGTCGTCGATTGATTGATCTCCTATATAGTACTTATAGAGTATGTAGACCGAGGATCAGATGAAAGGCGTATGAATTAGATTTGCGTGTTGGAAAATGTTCTTGAATCTTTCAATGGAGGGCGTCGGAGGTATCAACTATCTGCGAGCGGCCAATGTTCAAACTTCAGGTACTTCAGTCGATCAAACTCAAAACTCGGAATTGGATCAGTTCGAATCAGTCAAGATGAGGTCGCAGTCATGTATGTAGCTCGTAACTTGTAACGGTCCCCTGTGTAATAAGTAATTGGTGGAAAGACACCCCTTGCCCTTTTGTCGCCAATGAGGCGCGGAGATGTGTTGGGATGCTCAGGCCTTGAGGGACGACCTCTTGAGAAGAATGATGCTTTGAAAAGAATGGTACGGGTACATGTAACTAACATCAGAGGAGTTGAGGCTTCGAGGTAAAAGCACCACTTCGACACCGTGACACAGAGCCCAGGGGCCAGACGTGATATGTCGAAGTTGCGGGGTATCAAGGGGATGTCATTGGACGGGGTAGCTGGGGAGTTTGGCAAGCCTTGAGAAGAAACCTAATTTGGTGCCGTCACTTCACTGCTTCCATCCTCTCCAACCTTGATATTTTCTCGTCACTCGAACCATGATATCTTCTTGTCACTCAAACCTTGATATCTTCTCGTCATGGACCCAGGAATATCTTCTCGTCTCGGACTCAGGTCACAGGGGAAGGGGTTTGCCCCGGGAGGCAATGATAATGTCGGAATCTGATTCGTTTGTGACTACGAGTCGCGATCGTACCAAGTCTTTACACATATACAGACTGAGATAACGGCCAGGGCATGAACATGGAGGAAGTACCACCAACGTCCACCATCTACTATCTGTCTATCTATCATACCCCTTTGGCAGGTCTTGATGTGGTATGTGTTTCAATAGACGGCGTTCTTGGTGAGGGACTGGACTTCAATATCACATCGCTACGTCCTACGTTCAACCGAGGGTTCTGCATTGGATCTTGGTCTGTTATGTCCATGGATCCTCCCGATAGGCTACCCAGATCAAACTGTAACCATTCCAGTCTTCACGTCGTCGTCCCAGTGCAAACCTCCAACTAACCACACTTGTATCTTACTACCTTTAATGCCCTTTCCTAATCTCTGTTAGTATATCGGTTAGTACACGCGCCTGTCACTGTGTTTCCGCCGGTCGCGCGAAAGCTGGGTTCGACTCCCAGACAGAGAGATCTTGAATGATATGGCAACAGCTTTTTGCAGTATCCACGGAGGAGCACTTTTTATAAGTGTTTTTTCAAGTCAGAGTATGTGCTCCCCATACTACTACCACTGCATACACCCCATTTTGCTACATAGCCAGTCTGCACCGGGCTCCAGCCTAAGGCCCAGCAACGTCCACGCTGAAGAATAATCGCCTCAGGCTCGATGGAAACACTTGGGAAACGCAGCTCCTCCGACGTTCAGAAATCTAAACACGTGGTACTAAAAGACAGAAGCGAGAAAAACCATGTCCAATAAATGCAAAACGAGAAAAGAAAAGAACAACAAATGCAAATTGAAACATGACAAACAACTAAAGAAAAAGAAAGAAAAAGAAAAAGATACACAGGTATGTGGTTGTATGCGATGCGCGTAAAAAAGTCCATCTACTACCTCTACGGTAAAGCTTTCCAACCCTCCTCTCGATGACACTCGTCCACATCCACCATACTCGTCACATCACCTCCTCCCGCTCTATACGAGCCTCTCCTGGTTCCCGAACCACCAAACTCTCGTATCCGATCTCCCTCATATACACCCGACCGCGCGAATCCCTCATCCTCGTCATCAGAGCTATCGCTACTATACACACCACTCTTCCCAGGCCCACCACCACCGTGAGCTCCTCTCTGTCCCCCTCCCACACCTCCAACCTCAAAATTCCGCCTCACGTCTTCCTCGAGTTCATCACTATAGTACCGCTCCTCCTCACCCAACAACCCCTCCTTTTCCTCCCTCCCCTTCCGACTACCCCGTCTACGCGAGGGGATATGTCCGATACCTGATCCAATGCCTCCTATAGGCGGACCCGTCGAACCGCTCGGCGTCGTCGTGGTTGTAGAAGTAGTGGATGTCGAAGTTGAGGAGATGGGAGTCCCGAAGAACGCTTGCATACCCGATGTCGTACCCGAGGGAACGTACCCGCGTCGACTCAGTCCAGCCTCGGCCTGCGCAAAGTACCAAAAGAAAAACGAGATTAGTACTACTCTTGAGAATCGAAAACGAAAACGAAAAAGGGATTTAAGGGCCATAGCTTCCTCCTCTAGAGGCACTAACAAAGAGTCTTTGGAAAGGAAAAAGAAGACCATAGTTCCATCCTCGAGAAGGGAACCAGAACTCTCCCGCGAGAACGAAGAAGGTTCTTGTCTAAATCACACACACCTTAAACTTGGCCTTCTCAAGCTTCGGCTGGAACGTATGCATCGTCTCTTCAATCTTCGTGCTCAACTTGGCATTAAGTTTGGACAGGGAGGAGAGGAGTGGGTCGGGGTTCCTATATAACTCCATCAGCTCGAGAATGAGAAAGGATATGGAGCAAGGACACTCACCGAGACCCCCTAGGATCGCTTAGCGAATTCTCATACCCATCCCCTCCTAGACCCATCCCACCCAAAGGCAACGACGAAACACTCAAACTACTCTTCCTATGCCCTACCACGTGTCCCCCTCCGCCTCCTCCCACACCAACCCCTCCTCCACCGGTTCTCGACGTCGGAGGAGGAGGAGGACCACGAACGGACGTGTTCCTCGAGAGCGCAGGTCCCAACCCCACACCGCCATCACTACCGGTCGTCACTCCCGAAGGTCCCACGGTACGCTGCGGGGGAGGCCGAGGCGGAACACGATGAATACCCTTTTCTCTACCTCCACCGTACCCTCCTCCATCGTCCATCATCGTCGTGGTCGTCGTGGTCGTCGTAGCGTCGTTCCCAAACCCAGAATCAGAATCGGGTATAGTGGATTCAGGATCATCAAACGTCCACCGCGTCGAAGAAAGAACTTGTACACTCTCAGGCCTCTTCCTCCTCCCATCAATGGTCGTATTCGACCTGCCAAGTCCCACCGTACTAGACCCGCCAAGTCCTCCCCCACCTCCAATGAACGGATTCGTCGAGCTCCCTCCCGCTACTGGGAGAGCACTCGCATTCGTCGTGGGCGTCGACGCGCTGTCCGGGTGGCTCGGGTGCGCGTGTTGGATGTGAGAATTCGCGTGTTGGATGTGAGAGTTCGCGTGTTGAGATTGGGAATGAGAGTGAGAGCTGGAGTTGGACGCCGGCCCTAAGGAACTAGGCGAAGAAGGAACATGCAAACTCCTACTCCTCCACACGCGCGCTCCCATCGCGTTTACTCCGCCTCTTGTCCCACTCCCATTCCCATTCCCATGCCCTCCTGCGCCACCACCCCCTCCTCCCAACCCACCATACCCTTTCCCGCTATCACCACCCCCTGCTCCTCCACCTCCTCTTCCTCCCCCACTCGTAGTAGAACTACCATTTGCACCGTTCCCAGCAGCAGCAACAGCAGCCCAATAACTCCTCGCCTCTCCAACAGATCCAACACCCGCACCAGGCGTCGTAGGCTCACTCCCACCAGGCTCACTCCCACCAGGCGAAGACGACCACGGTACACCGCTGGGACCCCCAAAGGTGTTTACGATTGGCGAGCCTGCAATCGGTGATCCTCCACCAAACGATCCAACGACAGGCGACCCCCCTCCTCCCCCACTGACACCACCAAAGGTTCCTGGGATGACAGGCGACGCACTCCCACTCGTCCGACCAGACACACTCCCACTCCTCGAATGAGGCAGGGAGAGCGAGCCCGTCCGACCGTGTCCGTGTCGTGTGAGACCACCCGGTCTGGAGAAGGGCGGTGCGTTATTCGTGTTCGAAGCGAACGGCGAGGGGTTGTTCGTGGTAGTCGAAAAGGGCGAGGGGTTATTGGCATTCGAAGCGAACGGCGAAGGCGGCCCCACAACACCAGGCGAATCGAACGGATTGGTTCCCCCTCCCCCACCACCCCCTCCTCCATCCCTTCCTCCTTCACGTCCCACTACAAAAGCACCACCAACAACAGGAGAACTACTCCCACTCCCACTCCTCGACGTCCTACCTCCGCCCATCGACACTTTGGTACCCTCAAACTTGGAGTAGATGGCGTCGAAACCGCCACTCACACCACCCCCTCCCACGTCGGACGAGGTCTCGTCCTTGCCCCGACTCTTCGACCTCTCCCTGCCTCCCACACCACCACCAACGACAGATTTACGATCAGGATGCATAGGCGGCGGAACGGGTGGGGGCGGTTTCTTCCCTCCTCCACTTCCTATACCCCCACTTCCTCCTATTCCCCCACTTCCTCCTATTCCTCCACTTCCTCCTCCTCCTCCTATACCCCCTGCACCACCAACGTTTCCTCCTCCCGCACCACCCACATTCGGTAAATCCACATTATGACCCCTCCCAGGCGAACCAGAACCCGAAACAGAATCACTCTCGTACGGCGTAGTCGGTGCGGTACGGAACGGACTCCCACTCGTCGAGAACCGCCGTAGGGGATGAGGGGGAGGTCTTTCTCGTTCCCGATCTCTCTCTCGATCGCTTGAAGAGGTCGTATTGCTGGTATGGGTGGTATAGCTGGTATTCGTCGTCCCAGAAACTTTCCTCCTCCTCTCTCCATATCCATACCCCTCCCCAAACTCGTACGAATCTTGGTCGACTTGGGGTGGTGTAACCGTCTTCGTACTCGTACTCCCACTCCCGCTTGCACTCCCGGTTCCGCTTCCGCTTCCCCCTCGATTCCTTCCACCTACACTCCCTCCCGTAATCCCACCTGCACTCCCTCCTGCACTTGCACTCCCACTACCACCTGAAATCCCGCTCCCGCCTCCCCCTCGATTCCTCCCACCCATACCAAGACCAGCGTTCGCACCAGAACTAGCCAAAGCGACTTGCTCCAACGAACTAGCCGAACCAGGGGGCGAAGGCGCGCGGTTATACGCGTGTCTTCCTCCTGCTCCTCCCATCACCCCTCCTGCTCCTCCTGATGCTACACCTATGTGCCCACCACGCATGAACCGATTCGCCCGACTCCCAACCCTCTGCAGTCCCCCTCCTCCACCTATCCCCGTCCCTGAATGGTGATACGAGTACTGCTCATCAGAAGAAACACTAACACTCGAAACAGAGGACCCGCTCGTCGTCGTAGGCGGTGGGAAGCGGGGTTTGGTTGGAGGTATAGGTGGGGGTGGGGGTTTCGTAGATGAGTTGGGTGGAACTGGCGGAGGCGGCGGTTTGGATGATGAATTGGGCGCAGGCGGAGGTTTGGATGATGAATTGGGCGCAGGATGTGGAGGTGGAGGTGGAGGTGGGGAGGGTTTGAATGGGCCGTCTGTACGAGAGAGAGAGAGAGAGAGAGAGAGAGGTAAAAAAAAAAAAAGGTTGGTTAGATAGAGAACACGATTAGAACAGAAAAAGATTGAAGGAGGAATCACAAACGAAATAGGGAACGTAACAAACGAATAAACAAAAAACCGAAAAAAAACGACACTCACTAACACCTCCCCCAACACCCTTACTACTCTTCAACACCTGCATAATCCTCTCCTTCTCCAACTGCTCCTCCGCTCTCTTCATCGTCTGCGCCACTCGGGACGCTTGAAGGCTCTGCTTGATCAGATCCGAGGTTTGGTGCGTCGTTACGTTGTCGCGGGGGTGGACCGTTGGTGGATGGGTTGGCGATATATGTTCGCGCGTGTGGGTCATCGGTATATTGTCGCGGGGGTGAGTCGTCGGTATATGTTCGCGCAAGTGAGTCGGCGGGATGCCGTCGCGGGGAGGAGGATAAGGCGACACATCCCTCGACTCTCGACCAGGAGGCACAGGAACCTCCCTCCCCGTTCCCGCACCAGGCCTCGGCGGGGGCGGAGGCGGCACACCCTTCACCGGCGAACTCGACCTCCCCACAGGCGGCTTCCTCGGCGGGAGAGGCGGGCCTGGAGCCTTCGAAGGGGACGAGGACAGCGCTTGCTGTTGGCCAGAGGCGTGCACAGCGCCAGATCCATAGCCGTATCCATCGTCAGATCGCGTTGGTGGTTTAGGTCTTGGCGCAACGAAGGGGTTAGAATTCGATGGAAAGGGCTTGGGTTGTTTGGGTGCGGAATCGGGGTGGACGGGAGGCGCTGCTTGGAAGGTTTGTGAGCGGCGGGGTGGGGGTTTCGGGTGCTGCTGCTGCTGCTGCTGTTGTTGCTGTTGCAGTGGTTGACTAGGCGTAGTGGGAACGAGTGGGTGCGCTGCACATAGAGTAGAATAGACACTCTTATCAGCATCCATAGAACACGAGTACAAAAAAGAGGAAGACCTTGAACAAAAGCTAACGACCTGTCGAGCGCTTTGCCTGTTTGAAGATGCGTGATCAGCCGCAGGACGGCGAAGAATTGGCCGCCTGTTAGGACGTCGCCTTGTGCTAGGGTGGGGCTGAAGAATTTGAGGATCTGTGGAGGGTTGGTTAGCGTTCTGCTCTTTCTCTTCCCCTACATCCATATCCATAAACCCATCATTACCCTATCCACATCCAAATCCAAATCCAAACCCCAATCCGCATCCATATCCCCCAAGCAAAAAAAGCCAAAAAAACTCACCAAATCAACACTACCATTCACCCCCGCATCCGCCGAGTATCGTCCCCTCAACCACGCACGCGCCTCCCTCACACCGAGTGTAATCCGTTCGTAAAACTCGTCGTCGTCGTCGCCATGGCTGTTATTGTTGTCCCCCTCGCCCTCGATCTCGGCCACCTCCTTCAGAGCCCGGGTGTACACCTCGTATTCGTCGTTGGTGAGCGCTGAGGCGTGGAGGGTGAGTGGACGCATGGTTTGGATGTGGGGTTGAATGAAGGATGGTGGGTTGGGGAATCAAGTGTGGCGGTCGTTCGTTCGTGATTCGTGCTGGTATGCCGGGTTCGTGCTTGGTGCTGGTATGTCGAGTTCTGTATTCGTGCTGGGATGTCGAACTACGAGTACGATGGTTCCTGGTTCCTGATTTCAGGTCGAGGATGCTGCTGGATGCTGCTCGAAGTCGTCGTCGTCGTCGTCGTGTATGGAAGGCGGAGATAATCACCACTAAGCCTGGGGCATGTATACGTCGTCGTCGTCCAACGTCAAGCTTGGTCAAGCCTCGAGGTCGCTTGGTGGTCGCTCGGTTGTATGCAGCACGTCGCTCGGTTGTGTGCTATAGGCGTGTTACGTTTATCCCAAGACCCAAGAAAAACCCCTACTCGACGCGGCGTATTGCTATCCTTCGTGGCGATTTATATCCCTCGTGGCGATTTATATCCCGCAGCGATACCAAACCCTCCTTCGTGGCGATCTATATCCCTCGTGGTTCTTTATATCCACAGCCAAGTATACCAAACGCACAACTGCGTATACGCAGTCCGTAGTCCCCCAAATCAAAGCCCGTGTCGTGATTTCAATTTGTCGTTTGTCGTTCCGTGAGATCGTAGGTGGTAGCCGTCGTCGTGTTCGTTAGTGCTGTAAGTGCTGTAGCCGTGCGAGTGGGGGATCGTGAATGTCGAGTCCCTCTTCCGTGCGAGAGATCGTAGGTCGAGTCCTTCTGCCCACTTCAGTCGTAGTCAAATTCGTAGATACGTGCGTTTGTGCGTGTCCTCCTCCTTCTTCTTCTTCTTCCTAAAATCGAGAGTAAACAGAAGAAAGAAAATATCAGAGGAAAATGTAAAACGACGAGTTGATCGTCGGCGCTAACAAGCAACAAGCAAGCAAACACGAAAAGCACGCAAAATCGGCCGTCCTCCCGCAAAGCACGCGATGCCAAGACCATCTCTGGGCTCCTCCCTTCGTGGCTGTGCTATGCAATAAGGATGATGATGACGTCGTTGGCTTCAAGCAGCCTTCGAGGAGGCTCAGGCAGGAGAAAAGAAACTCCTAGAGATTCCTACATAAGTATATGCCGAACTTTAGAAGCCAAGGAAAAAGAAAACTATGAAAAAAAAGGAAGAAATACAATGCCTATCTCTCTGTCTGGGAGTCGAACCCAGCTTTCGCGCGGCCAAAGCAAAGGGGGGCGGGTCAGGCATATGGATGACAGGCGCGTGTACTAACCGAGAGAATGGATTCGGGCGAACTTTGGAGTACACTAGGGCGGGGTATGTGTACTACTCTGATTCTATCGTATAGTCTACGTTCTCTAGAGAGTAGTGCCTTTGAAGTTTGCGGTGAGCTACTCACTGCTCAGCTGGCGATTGCATATGTCAACAACCTTCGGAGACCCGGACTCCGCCTACGCACGACGGTGTTTTACTATGTTACTAGCCTTACCCTACTAACTAGAAGCGCCAGCATATAAGCGCCCATATGCATGGACGCTCAATATATTACCCACATTTAGTGTGGCTTTCCGCTTTCTTCTCCGCGTCACGGTGCGGGTGGATACTCCAAGGGAAATCTACATCTGTATCTATGTCCTGGTGCCTTGAAAGCCACCTCGTACCTCGTCGTAACTCACGAACTCGGAGAGGCTCAGACTGGAAATGTGTATTCGGCACGGTTACAGTGCACATACAGTTACGGGTATCGGTGTGGCTTACTACTATATCTGTGGAAAAGCGTCCCTTTGGATGTTTGGACGACAAAGGCTACAGACGATTTTTAGTCACTCGCCTTATATCACGATCACATTTGCAGCGGAAGTATGTAAACGGTGGCTTGCTTAACTATGCGGCTCAGGCTCGAGTGGTAACTGTAGGGATGGATAAATCATAAGTGGCTCGCGAAGGAATGTAAAAGCGCCTCTGATGGGATGGGAATGAATACATATGTGCCTCTAACGGGAATGAATGCATATGTGGCTCTAACGGGAATAAATACATATGTGGCTCTAACGGGAATGAATATGTGGCCTGAATGGAAATGCACAAGTGGCCCGCGTGGAATGAAACTCAAAGGGGCATTCGAAGACACCCGTTACGCGGTGTTCTCGTGAGTGGCTGGTCTGGTCCCTTTCATTAACGGGAGTTGAACGTTGAAATGGGTTTTGTGGCGATTGTAGAATGGAGGACACAGAGATACGACTCTAAGCAAATGGTATATAAAGGCAAGGAATCTGTAAGATTGATTTTCCTTCAGAACGAGAGAAGAAGAAGAAGACGAAGTATGGCGAACGCTAACGAGTCGACGACGACGAACTCGAGCCTTGAAGCCAGGTAAGCGTTTTCATATCATGATCCTCGACGCTCGATTTGAGCTAACGTCCATTGGTTTCGCACAAAGTAGCTCAACGGCTCCAGCGAAAAGATCAACTCCCACCTCTACGCCTGATAAACCCAAGTCAACATCATCCACACCGTCCCCAGCTCGAGCCCTCCGAAACCTCCGAAACAACGGCAGTGATGCGCGCCTCCCTGTGGAGGATGAACGTGGAGGAATGGTTTCAACACCGAGGTCTCTCCCTCAGCCTGAGGGTCACAGTGCTCGTCCGACCATATCTCTCCCTCAGGATCAGCTTCGAACGACCAGACTTCTCCCTCAGGATCAAGTTCACCCGACCATAAAGGCTCAGGCTAGGCCCTCGCCTGCATCTTCGACGACCGCCAGACGGGATAGGAAGGAAAGGAACTCGAGAGTGGAGGTTGGAGTTAAACGCAAGGCTGAGAGTGGAGGAGACGTTGAGACGCCGAATCGACGCGTACGGCTTGACTCTGAAGCTGTTTCCACCACTTCGACTGGTACTACCTCCACGGCCTTGTCAACCTCCACATCCACACCCTCATCCACTTCCAAACCCTCATCCATTTCCAAACACTCATCCATTTCTACGCCCTCATCGATTTCTACACCCTCATCGACTTCTACACCCTCATCGACCTCTACCGCACCTTCCACCGCCTCCACAGCCGATCGGAAACCAAGTGAAATATACCTCGAGTTCAAACAACACGAAACCCGCGCCGAGCTCGCCGCAAAGCTTCGAAAACTGGAGGACGATCTGAGGAGGGTGAGGGAAGGTGACTTGATGAAGGTGTGGATTTTGGGTGCGCCGTTGGAGTCGAGGGAGGAGGAGGAAAGGAGGCGTGTGGCGGAGGCGAAGGCGAAGGCGAAGGCGGAGGGGAAGGCGAAGGGGAAGGGGAAGGCCAAAACGACTAAGCCAATCGAGCCCATTTTCGAGCCCTTTGCCAAAGCTCTAAAGCCAACGACCGGGCGATGGAGGCACCTGACCATCTCCGACTGGGACGCGGAGTTGGACAGACTGACTCAAGGCGGGCGACTCCCGACCCCGACGCAGCTTGCCTCCTTCACCATCGTCGGGTCTCCCGAACTACGTCGGAATCGTGCTCAACCTACCACCCTCGCTCGTTACTACGAACAGCCCCCTGACGAACTAATCCCCATCCGTCCTCCCTGCTACTCCCTCCCCACTCTCACATCCTTCACACTCTGCTCCTCCGCTTTCGCCCTTTGGGTACCCCGTTTCAACTTTATGAAGCACAATTTTGGCACTGTTACGACGTTTAGGGTGCATGGGTGTTTCAAGTGGGAGGTCGTCGTGGAGGAGTTTTTGGTGTGCATGGAGAGGGTGGAGGTGTTTGAGTGGGATTGTAAAGGATTCCGGGGTGGTCGTTGGGGGGATGTACAAGGGAAGAGGACGAAGGAGGGAGGGAAGGGGAGGAAAGAGGAGGAGGAGAAAGGAAGGACTTCGTTGGTTCCCACCACCCCGCATACGTTCAAGCACCTGAACAAAGTATCCATCCGCCAGCCTCTCCACCACATCCTCACATTCCTCGGGAATCCCAAATTTCGTTTCCCAAAGTTGAAACATATCGAGTTGACGTTCGCCGATAGCACAGCCAAGTCTGAGTCTGCAACGAAGACGCTTAAGCACAAGTTCCTCCCACAAGGCCAGAGGCTCCGCCACCTCCTCGACTCTGACCGTTTCGGCGTCCCACCAGGCGAGTTGGACCGGTTCAAGATGATTGGCTTCCCGAAGCAGTTTTTGGCTCCGTTCTCGGATGTTGGTGGGTTTGAGTGGGCGTTGGGGGAGAGAGTCAAGGGTGGAGGTGGGGAAGAGGTGGAGGGTGGAGGTGAGGAAGGATGTTGCCTTCGGGTTTAAGGGAATGTAGTTCATCATGATGGCACTAGATCTGACCGGGAAGGATAGCTATTTGAACCATGTATATTTTATGTATTTGATGTTTTCGAGTTCTTCAATACGAATTCCGTTCTCTTAATATGTCGAGGTGCAGGAATGGGTTTTGGACGGTTGAATCCGAGTCGGACTTGAAAACGATGGAGAGACGTCAGATGGGTCGGCGATCGCCCATTATCTTGAAGCCATTTAGTCCTCTGCTTGCTTCGAGTCCTCGTGTTGATGCCACGTAGAGTCAATATAGCACGATCACCACCTCGTTGCATAGTGGATGACTCGGAAATTTGACAAGTCCCAAAACTAAACTCCGCCCATCTTTAATTTTGGATGGGCCAGGGTGCCACCCATCGATTACGACGTTCTTATCCCTTCGAGAGCTATGTGCGCGAGCGACGTAGAGATGACAAGATTTTTTGCAAAGCTATCTAGAGTGAGTGTCACTAAGCTAACGCAAGAGTTGACCCACGCTGAGTTGACGCGCAGAGAATGCTCTGAAATACACCCCACCAGCCGCGACGACATCCTCAACATCACCAACTGCCTCGGGGTTGGAGCGCTTCTCACTCATCCTCTCATCTACAATGGACACGCAGAACACGAGGACCGAGCACGGTTCAAGTCCCACGCCGACCTCCTCTCCACGAAGATCACCACCTTGACTCACATCATCTCTGGTCTCCAACGTGCAGAGACGCTGTACAGAGCAGCTGCCTCGCCTATTCACTCCATCCCCAACGAGTTGTTGACGAGGATCCTATGGTTCGCGACATGGGAGAGTGGTGGGGGGACCAGCTTTGAGGTGAACGAGCGGTTGAGGTTGGTGTGCGAGTTGTGGAACCAGTGTGTGATGAGGAGTCCGGAGATGTGGTCGAGGATCGATGTGGTTAGTCTCCTGAAGGAAAGAGAGAGTGGTGGAGAGGATAGGAGGGATGAAAGCCTAGCGTTAGAACGTGCCATCACACTTGCCTCGGACTACCCACTCGAGGTTGTGCTCAGCCTGACGGACGGGAACTTTGACATCCGCTCTTGCCCCCCGGAGAGGGTTCTTCACATTTCCCAGGTATTACAAGGGTGCAGTGACCGATGGACTTGCCTGACCGTCGAAGAAGACGCAATAGACGATTTAGTCCAATCGGGTTGGCTCCCTACAAGGCTCCCTCGTCCGATGCGGAGTCTCGTTCTCCAAGGCAAAGCACTCTTTCGAGAAGATTGGAAGAGCGGAACCCCGTACAACATCACACCAGACAACCTTCCGACCTTTCCTACGGAATGGAATATGACCAATCTGACACATCTCATACTCTCCGGGTCTGCACTCGCCTTGACCCCGCCCAAACCCGAGAATGGGGTGGGACCCAGTTCGACTCCGAGGGAGGCTTATGAGCCATACACCGATCCTGCACCACCGACTCACTTCCCGCCCTTCGTTTGGAATATCACACACCTCACCGTCCAATGGCGCTGTGCAATGCCAGTCCTGTTCGATCTCATCCACGCGGCGCCCCAAGCTTATTTCTCTGGACTGGGATATCCGTACGTGCCACTGTGGACGCCGCGCCTGGCGAACGGTACCTTGGAACTGGTTGAAAATATGCGCGAAGGATCAATGGCGGGGTGATAGGAACGGGAGAGACGTGTTCTTCCTCCGGTCTTCACCCTTCTTTTACCACTCCAACTTGAAGTCGGTGAAGATTATACAAGTGTCTATGTCGGACGTGTTTTTCTTCTTCAATGGCGTTGGGCTTTCGCATCAGGCGTTGGAGATCGAGATCGAAGGAGTGCCGTTGCGAAGGTATCAGAGGAATGTGAACTCTGGGAGGACAGGGAACTGGGTGGAAGCTTCATTTGGGGCTGATAATCTGGACCGAGTTGGGGCGACGTTGTGGAGGAAGGTGTTCTCTCCCCCGCGCTTCGATGGCAACATCAAGATGTTGAGGATCAAGGGTTTCCCGGCGGATACAGCCCAATGTTTCTCGAATATCGAGGTTATTGAGGTAGTTGATATCCGTTAAACTATTTTAATTGCCCGTATCTGTGTACATTAACTCACCAAAGGAATTGAGTTCGCTGCGTCGAGTCACAGTCGACCTTAAGCGCCTAAGGAATAGGGGTGTTTTCGCCATTCACGGAGTTTCAAAGCGCCTCCCACGGTCGATGGGCAGTTCCTCCGATGCGTAGCTTGCCTTCGGACACCCACCATCGTTCCACTCGCAGTGCGCCGTGTTCACGTTGATTTCTCGTCTCTCCGTCTTCAAAAATACTCCACCACGGGCTATCTTGAAACCAACCCTTTAAGGATGCGATATCGTTCTGCTGGCCTGGAGAAATTGCGACATGTAAATCACCCCATTCGGCCGAAAAATCACCTGACAAGCCTACCAGTGTGCTCCACCAGTTTGCACCACATTGAAGCAGCTTCTTGCAGCCGTTGCCTTTGTTGAACCATACGAATCTCACCAAAACTGCCTTCTTCACTTCCTTGGCTTCGACTTCCGTGCTAGAGATTCCTCATGGACCTCCTCCCTGCCTCGAAACCTCGGATGAACTTAATTTCCTTGTTGGGCGCTTGGTGAGTCGCTTCGTCGTCCCAGAGTTCAGAATGTGGTCACCTTATCGACCTTCTCCAGGCGCCCAATTGATTATCTGTCATACCCATGTTGACAGTGGTGAAAGTTATCTTATCCGACCTTCCTTATCGTGTCAGAGAAAGCTTTCGAACATGGGCATAAAACATGCGACATGTGGTTCCTTTCTCGCCACGCAATGAGTTCAAGTCTCTGAAGAGGGCCACCGGGTACGGCTTTCATACGCTGCCGCCTGTACTCATGAGGAGCACACGACTTCGAAGGCTGCCGTCCTTATTCTACCCGTGAGTGTGGACTATTATAGCGCGTTAGTCACTGACGAATGGCGGCCCGCAACACTAAATAGATGACAGCATATGTTCAGATGCCCATTCCTCAATGTTTTCGACAACAGGTTCCATGGATGTACCACGCGTGTACCTGGTTTGCTCCACCAGGTCGCCCCGCCTTCGCAGATGGTGCTGCACCTTGTATGTCGATCACGCAAAGTTAACGTCTTGTTGCCCTGAACAAATCGAGATGGAAGGGGATAATGGTCGGCAGGCCGGTGTCCTTTTAAAAGGCTTCCGTCGTCTCTGTGGAAATCGACGAGAATTGGGCATCTTTCCTCCCTAGCATTCCCATCTCGCAGCCTCCAGACCGTGTCCCCACATTCTTGACCATCATGTTGCCCCGTATGCAGACCCTCCTGTCCACCATCCTCATTGCGATCGCGTGCGTCGCCCCCGTCGCTCAAGCTGCACCCTCGGCAGATGCTGGCTTCGATCTTTCCACCCGCAACGTCTACAGAGTCGGAAAGCGTGGCCTGGAAATCGAAGCTTTCTACCCCGCTTCAGAATTCGAGGTTGGTCTATCTTTGTGAATTCCAGTCGAACGTCCTACTAAACGTCGATCCACTAGACCTTTGGCGAAGGTCTTGAGCTTCCTTCCCATCTCCAACGCCGAGCACCCCAGACCTTGGACGACGAAGCGGTTGAATTCGTTGCTGATAGGTTGAAGGTCGACCGCGGTTCCATTCGCTACAGGAGCGGTTACACTGCCGGCAAGTTGAGGCATGCTTACGTTCGACAGTCGCATGTGAGCAGTTTTTCCGGGGACTCCAATGATTAACGTAACTGATCCAGAGGCGTGTAGGACGGTATTCCCTTCGCCAACGCAGTCGCCAACGTCGCCTTCAAGGACAACAAGGTCGTTTCTTTCGGCACTTCGTTCGTCAAACCACGTGAGTTCGGTTTTTCCCATCTGGGGTTCGCTCGGTGTTGATGTGGCTTCGCAATTTCAGGACGGTTCGCATCTTCCACTCCTACCATCAACGTCCAGGACTACCTCCCTGCTGTTGAGGAGATTTTGGACGGAAAGTACAACGATCATCCCACGCGCTTGGAGTACCTCGCTCGCCCTGACGGCACGGCTTCCCTCGTTTACGCGGCTCAGATCGAGAACGTAGAAGACAACAAGTGGTATGAAGCTTACATTGACGCGCACAACGGAGAGCTTCTCTCTGTTGTGGACTTCACTGCCGATGCTACTGTAAGCACATTTCTTTCCTTTTCGCTCACTGATCTCGCTCACCTCGGATAACAGTATCGCGCCTTGCCCATCACCAAGCAAGCCTACCCCGATGGTCTCGAACTCATCGTCGACCCTCAAGACTCTTTGGCCTCACCCTCGGGCTGGCACGCAAGCGGCTCCACCCTGAACACCTCTGGCAACAACGTCATCTCATTCAAGGGCAGCCAGTCGAGTCTCACCTCCCAGTCATCCGCCAACACCTTCAACTACTCCTACAACGACGCCCAGTCCCCCAGCGTGCAGTCCAACGTCGATGCGGCCCGCGTCAATGCTTTCTACGTCCTCAACGTCGTCCACGACTTCACCTACCGATATGGCTTCACTGAGGCTGCGTTCAACTTCCAGAACGACAACTTTGGAAAGGGTGGACGAGGGAACGATCGAGTGACTGTTAGTGTTCAGGATAGCTCTGGTACGAACAACGCCAACTTTGCTACGCCTCCTGAGTACGTCGACTTTGGCTCGCTTATTCGAGGTTCTTTCTCACTCATTGATTCCGTAGCGGTCAATCTGGACGATGCCGAATGTACATCTGGACTCGTACCACTGTAAGCATCGGTATTTCTGCTTTTTAGTGCACGGCGCTGATGATCCTACTTTTGTAGCCAAACCGAGACGGTTCCCTCCAGAACGATATCTTGGTCCACGAAGTCGGCCACGGTATTACGAACCGAATGACTGGCGGTGGAAGTGGTAGCTGCTTGCAAACTACCGAATCTCGTGGTCTCGGAGAGGGCTGGTCTGATGCTTTGGCGATGTAAGTAACCTCACGTTTCGCGAAATTGGCTCGAACTCATTTCGCGCTCCGTTCAAAGGTGGACTCAGCAGAAGGACGGTGTTGTCCGCGACTACGTGTTGGGAGACTACGTCTACAACAACCCAGGTGGTATCCGAACGCGACCATACTCCACCAGCTCGTGAGTCTTCCAGATTCAATGCTGAACTTGGCTGGAGGCTGACGTTCTTGTCGCGCAGGACTACCAACCCTCAGACCTATGCCAGCGCTCGTGGTCAGACTTCCGTCCACCGTACGTATCATTCCTTCTTTCCTATCAACTCTTTCTAAAATTGTGATTCAGGTATCGGTGAGGTCTGGGCCAACATGCTCCACAACGTGTATGCTGCACTTGTGGCGGAACATGGCTGGTCTGCTACTGCCAGGACCAACCCCAACGGAACGGAGGGTAACGTCGTCTGGATGCACCTCTTCATCGACTCGTTGGCTCTGCAACCTTGCAACCCCACATGTGAGTATCGCTTTCCCCGATGGGAAACGTTCATATACTGACTTCATTCGTTCCCCCTCTAGTCGTCGCTGCTCGAAACGCCTGGATTCAAGCTGACGCTAACCGATACGGTGGCCGCAACCGATGCTTGCTCTGGCGTGTATTCGCTAGCAAGGGTCTTGGCGTCAACGCTTCTGGATACACTGATAACACCGCTGTTCCGGCTGGATGCTAATTTGTTTTCGAGGTCTGTAAATTATGGAATTTTTTGTTGTACTACGAGAACTGTAGATTGGCCACAATGTATTAGTATGGGAGTTTGCTGCTCGTTGCTCGGTGTCTTGCGTTATCGAGGTCTATTTTCGAAAGAAGACGAGACTTGGGCTGGTCACTTGGATGGAACCTGCGGGGTGACGAAATGTGCGTGAATAGAGTTAAAGCTTCTAGTCGCGTCTTCGTGAGCCCTAGCGCGGTTCACGCCGACACATATGCCGAAGGGGATACGACGCCTCACGTCTACAGAATTGAGTTATCTGGAATATTACGAAATACTCAGGTGGATTGTCGGTGAACAGCGAAGTTAGAACTAGTAGGAGCAACTGGCACTAGCGGTATAAATAGTGACTAGACAGTGAACAGCGCCCACCTCTCTTGATAGAACTCATGATACTGCAATTATCGCTCGTCGTCGTATCCACTCTCGTCTCTCTCACCCAGGGCATTGTCCTCAACGATGTGCCTCCTTCCGAAATCACAGTACCTCCTTTTCTCAGCCATGGGGGACCACAAGTCACGGCTGCCTGCGTTCCTATTCCATGCACCCATACTTGTTCTTCAGGGTACGCTGTCCCCGACATACACATATTGCCCACCCGTCCAGTGCACGTGCGTATCGATAACTGCTGTTCCAACGACTACCAGTATGCCGCAACCAACATTTACATCTACTGGGCCCTGCCCACCCCCACACGTGCGTTTCAATTCGCCCAATTGCGAGACGATGATCTGTTAACAGTCTGAACAGCATACGATGAATTGCGTGTACTTGTAGTCAGAAACGATGGGGTTGTCAATTGAACTTATTATACTACAGCTTTTGTATTCCCTAGCAGTTGTAACCTTCCCCGCAATTATCGATTACACCGGCTGAGCCTTGTCCCCCTCCTCACGTACATCTCGTCTCTTCCGATGCAAGAAAGCTGTTTATTGGGTTTGACTTGACTGTGGAGGTCTTCACGCCGAGATACCACTCATTGTCAGCCTCTCACTCGCTAAAGGTGCTTCATTTATTCTGGACAAGATGGTTCATTCTGCGTCCGTTGATGATTTCGATTGTACATCGAGACATGTCGATCAAACAAGCTAGAAGGAAGGGAACAAAGGCAATTCGTAAACTCGTTCTTGTTATTTCGGAACGTATTTACTAGTTCTTTGTGGGTGTTGGCCTCCCAGTCGCCCCAATAGGCCAACACTCGCAGAAAGGACACTTGGTACCGGTTATAGTATGTCCAGTCGGGCACGCGATCTCACAACTGACGGAGCACGAAAGGGTGCTGGTCGGGGCAGTGGTCAAGGTCGGGGCAGTGGTGATGGGAATCGCGGTAGGCCTAGGGAAATTGGGATCCCTCACGCAAACACACCTTGGGCACTTATCGCCCGGAACGTGGGTCACAGTGGGGCTATCCCATGGGATACAGACCCAATTCGAGCAGGGGTCCTTGGGACAACCTGGGGGAATGATGGGAGAGGTGGTGATAGGATGCGTCGCGGTGGGTCGAGGCCTGGTGATAGTCGGGATGCCAGTGAGCGTTGGGATAGGCCTTGTCACGCTTTGGCATCCGCATCCCAAACACCCATCTGGATCGGGCGTCGTGATCGGCTCTTGGCCCACGGGGCATCCGCATGGTCGGACGGGGCATTCCTTGGTGGGTTTGGGAGGCCTGGGGGTGATCGGGGTGGGGAAGACGCATTGGCACGTCGAGCAGCGTTCACCCTCAGCGGGAGGAACGATCGTGCCAATCGATCCGACGGGGCAGGTGGTGGCGATGCAAGGATCATCCAAGCAAGGTTCCTTGATGGGTTGGGTGATTTCAGGCGGCGGGAGCTTCGTAATGGAGGGTCTGATTGGTACGCATTTGCAGCTGGGACACTTGTCTCCGGGTAGGATCGTCGTTTCCGGGTTGGTTAGCGGGGGACAGAGGACCGTAGCGCAGGGATGAACTCCACCGCAATCTTCGTCCTCGTCTCGACGATGGAGGGTAATAGATGGTCGAGGGACGGTCGCAGTTGGCTTCGTTGGGACGCAAGTGCAGGTTGGGCAAATCGCGGTCGGCGCCTGCGTGAGAGTCGAAGTTGATCCCGTCCCACAAGGCTTGCAGGGTGCCGGGAGACATGCGATAGGAGGCGTGGTTGGAGTGACTGGGGGTTTCGTGGGGACGCAAATACATGTGGGACAAATGGCCGTAGACGTGTAAGAATAACTTGGTGACGAACCCGTCCCACAAGGAGTGCACGGCAATGGGGAGCATACGATAGGAGGCGTAGGAGGGGATGTGATAATGGGCTTGGTTGGGGTCGGTGCGCAACTACAGATGGGACATTGGCCGGGAGGAACGGTGGACGTCGGAGTGGACCCAGGAGAACAAGGTCCACAAATGGTCTGCGGACAGAGAACTCGCGACGTCGTAGTGGTGGGAGAAGGAGGCTTCGTCGTTGGTGGCCCACATCCACAGATCATGCATTCTCCAGGCGGGGTCGTCCAGGTCGGAACGGACGGTGGAGGGCATGGGTCGCATGGTTTAGCGGGGCAAGGAACTGGTAGTGGAATCGTGGTTGGCTTTGGGACGTCTTCGTCGACATCTCGACGAGCGGGGTGAGCGAGAACGCTCGTAAGTGGCAGGAGAAGGACGAGAGCGTATCGAAGCATAGTGGACGCACGAGCGAGAATTCCACCAGAGGAGATGATGGGAGGAAAGGATCGCCGCGGTTAAACGATTTTCAAAATCACCTTTAAATAACCCTGGTGATTACTACCGGTAGTACCTGTACACGGTCTGTCAAAGTACCCTGCGTCATAGGACCCGATAGTCGTGATCCACCACCACGGTGAAAAAGGACCTGGATGCCTATCCAGGAGCAGAGTTGATCCGAATGCGTAGAAAAGAGCCTTTCCTTGAGAATGGACGAGAGGACCAAGACGGAGTTTAGAAGGTTACTGAATAGCGGTGATGCGAGGGGAGATGTTCTCAATGTCCCAGAATGACATGTTTTCGCGGAGTCGTTCCGATATGTAGCTCAGCTCTTCTCCAAGGCCAATACAGGGACGAACGAAACGGGGCCCCAGAGTCGTCATGAGATATGAGCCAGAGAGACAGGTAGAATGGATTCGGAGGTGTCAGGTAAGAATCGGGTTGCCACCTAGAACTGAAAGAATCAAGATACAGCCGCTCTAGCCTCAGTTCCACAGGCAGCCCCAGGTTAACAATTCTAAAAGGGCCATTAATAGGTGCGGAGAACCTGCGGAGTCTGTCGCCGACCAGGGGTGAGGGAAGTCAGGCAGCCTTTGGGCACGAACGAGAAAAAAGAACCATACGACCAAAGACCGAAAGGTCCGATGACACGGAGTCATCCGTGGACCGTGTGAGGATAATCAATGCGGATCATGCGGCATCTCCTGGGCTCGCCAGAAGTCTGCGGTTGCCTCGGACCTCAACGTTCAACTCTGCGCTGGGAGAATGGTCTGTAACAGCCTAGGTAGATTCTGAACTCGACCACACACTCTACTAGCTTGTGATTATGTCCCAATCCACTTCAGACTACGTGTGAGCCTGACGAAATTCATCACGCCCGTCGATTAATTTATATTCGACTGAGCCTTGTCCCCCTCCTCAAGTGCGTTCCCTTTCGGCCAATGCGATGGTTATTCAACAGTAAACAAAGCTATGAGCTGTGGACATTGATACTAGTTGAAGGAATGATAGTAATTGGTTAGAACTATTCGTTCGTAGCTATAACAACTCAAGCCTTAGGGACACCTTTCGCGAAGAAGACATCCGAATCGCCTTGCTTGCTAGGTGGGATCACTTCGTACAAAGTCATTTCCAACCCGCCATCAGAGAAGATCCTCTTCATGTCGCCCTCTGAGAACCCTTGGTAAGCGACGATATGCTTGTGGGTATCTGGGACTCCTTCTCCGGTGAAGACGTTGTCGATGACGACCAAGGAACCATTCGACTTCAAGTAGGATGCCAACACCTTCGTGATTGCTGACGGATTCTCGAAGTGGTGGTAAGCTGACGAGCACTAAGATGGAAATGAGTTCGCTTCGTATTGTGAACGAATGCACATGGAGGGGTTGAACTCACATAGATCAGATCGAAGGTTTGTCCTTGGAGTGCGTCTTTATCACTTTCGATGTTCGCGCAGACGCCCTTGAAACGATCCGGAGTTCCATCTTGTTCAGCCTTTTCATTGAGCATCTTAATGGCTTCGTCACTGATGTCTACACCGACGACACTCTTGACATGTGGAAGGATTCCAGCAGCGATTAGACCTGCACAACGAGGAATTAGAACTTTCATGAACGAGGTCTCCAGAGACTTGACAAGGTACCGCTCCCACAGGCGAACTCGAGGACGGTCGTGCTCTCCTTGTCGAGCTTGTTGTAATTCAAGAGTGCCGCAATAGTCCTGTTAAGCGACGTGGTTTGGAAAACTGGTAGGATCGGAAACAGAGTGGAAGTCTTACCTTTCGCGTCGTTCCTGGGCATGAGGCCACTCTTGGAAAAGATGCTTGTTCTCGTTGAAGTATTCCTTGTTCGCCTGGGCGAGATCGGCATGCCCGAGAGCGTGCTGATGTCCATGGTGGTGATGGTGGTGATGATGGTGATGGCCGGCAGAAGACATCTCGATTATTGCAGTAGTTAGAATGAGAGGTAGGAAACTGAGTCGCATTCAAGTGCTGAGGTTTCGACTTCGCTTCAAGTTTTGTTCTTATAGATGAGTATACGACTGCGACGGTAATGGCTGCCTCAAAGGGCTTAGCTACCCATTTGATGTCGGTGCTGTAGGATCGGTAAGCACAGCGTTGAGGGGAACGTAACTTTGTCATTGAGGGCACAGCCACGACTACGGGCGCTGCGCGCTGGACTGGGGAGGTCTTCATCATGATTCGAGCAGGGGTCACGGTCAGATATTCAATTTCTAACGTGTCCTATCGAGAACGGACCTGGACTCGGGTTTCAAAGTTTCACGCTTCACTCCTCATTCAGTCATATAGTGAGACAAACATCAATAGCTACAGGCTAGATGAAAGGAACGAGGGCGAATGGCTAACGAGTTTGAGTTCCAGATATACGCATTTAGTTCTACAGACATTCAGTTCTTGGTTGAAGTCGGTTTCCTGGCTGCATCGATAGGCTAGCACTCGCAGAACGGACAGGTGCCACCAGTCAAAAAGATCTTGCAACCGGCGACGCACGAGAGGGCTGGTCGGGACAGTCTTCAAAGAGCGGTGGCGGTGGGGATGGGAATGGGAGTAGGGTAATTGGGGTCCCTGACGCAAACGCACCTCGGGCACTTCTCGCCCGGAACGTGAGTCACAGTGGGATAATCCCATGGGATGCACACCCAAGTCGAGCAGGGATCCTTGGGGCAGCCTGGAGGGATGATAGGAGAGGTGATGATAGGGTGCGTCGCAGTGGGTCGAGGGATAGTGATAGTTGGAATGGGCGCCGTCACGCTCTGACATCCACATCCCAAGCACCCATCGGCGTCGGGCGTCGTGATCGGCTCTTGGCCAACGGGGCATCCGCAGGGTCGGACGGGGCACTCTTTGGTCGGTTTATCCTCCTCGCGACGATGGAGGGTAATAGTGGGCCGAGGGATGACGATGGGAGGTTTCGTGGTCGGAAGGGAGGTGATGATGGGCTTGGTTGAGGTTGGCGCACAGCTACAGATGGGACATTTGCCTGGAGGGGCGATCGATGTTGGCGTAGCGCCAGGCGGGCAGGGTGGGCAAATGGTTTGGAGACAAATTGGGGGGCGAATGGGAGTAGGCCCCGGGACGATGCTGTCGACTTCCCGAGGAGCAGGGTGAGCAAGAGCGCCCAAAACGGGGAGGAGAAGGACGAGGGTGTATCGAATCATAGTGCACGCTAGAGCGAGAACTCGACCAGGAAACGATGGAAGGACAGGATCGCCGCGGTTAAACGATTTTCAAAATCACCTTAAATAACCTTCGTGATTGCTGCCGGTCGTACCTGTACACGGTCTGTCAAATTACCCTGCGTCATAAGACCTTAAGTTCTTCATCGGCGACCGTGAAAGAAAGGACCAGGATGCACATCCAAGAGAAGAATTGATCCGAATTCGTTGAAAATGGGCTTTGCTTGAGAATGGACTAGAAAACCAAGACGGAGTTTAGAGGGGTATGAACAAAGGTGACGTTCTGACTATTCTAGAATGCCATGCTTCTGCGGAATCGCTCTAATAGTTCAGCTCTCCTCCAAGGCAAATAGCGGGACGAAAGAAACGGAGCCGCTCGCCTTCGCACGAAGAGGAGCTCACAGATGTTTATCTGACTTCGTAGGGACAGGCTGTGAGAGTCGCCAAGCGATCGGATCCAGAGAGAGGCAGGTAGGGTATATGGATGCGCCAGGTAAGAATAAGGTTGTTGGGGAAATTGGTCGACGGTAGTGCTAGACATTAGACCTTAGAATTGCAGGGATATCGCCGCTCTAGCCTCGGTTCCATCGACCGCTCCAGGTTGTTAGTTTAGAGCGGACAGATAATAAGTGCGGAGCGTTTGTGGAGTCTGTCATCGACCAGGGGTAAGGAGTGTGCGAGGCAGAGTCAGGGCAACCCTAGGACAAGAACTTGAACGAGAAAGAAGAACCCCAAAACAGAACTGAAAAGTCCGAGAAAGCGGTGTCCGTGCGTGGGAGGACCTTCCATGCCGATCATTCGGCATCTTCGCACTTGGCCGCTGAGAAACCCGTCGCAAGATTCCCGACGCTCGTTAGCCTGGAAGGAGAGTAAGTAATACATTACAACTCTGGTTATCACAGTTCTCAAATTTCGTCTGTAGCATGTAAAATTACATGTCGCAAGACTCATAGTCCCCAATATCACTGTGCCATGAATCTGGTAAACCACCCAATGACGCTTCTGCCCGATTCCTCTTTGGCCCACACTATCGAAGTGATGTTAGAGAGAGGGAATTTGACGCGATAGACAGGCAAAAGCGTACCAGCGTTAGCGTCGTTAGGATCGGCTCTCGTTGCAAACCCGTGCTGGACCCCGGAGAATTGCTGCAGATGATAAGTTGCACGCTCTTCCATAAGGATATCCATAGCCCTTCTTGAAGCAGCGGTTGAGAATGTGGAGTCGGTTTCTGTACCCGAAACGAGAGTTGTTTAGTGTGTTACTAAAAGAGTAATACTTTCAGGTTATCCCTACTGACCAGCGAGTGACAGCAAAAGTGGCGCTATTGAGAAGAATTTAGCCGCTGACGATGCATAACATTATTGACTGTGAGACTCACATTGGACGTTTCGGAAGTGGTTCTCTGTGAGGAAGGCGGGGTGGGCAAACGCAGCTAAGAGGTAGTCCCGGTGACGTTTGGAAAAAAGGAAGGGGAGGGCAGTCGAGCGCACTCACAGGCTACAACTTCGGTTGCTTCCATCGCATAGGAAGCACCGAAGCAATACCCAACAGCGGCATACTTCGCGTCCTCACCTAGTCATGATTAACACCGGTACTACGTTCTGGCAGCAGGGAACGCACCGAATTCCTCAATAACAGCCGCCTTCCACTTGGGAACGGCCTCCGCTGCCTGCCTTTGGGACTTGGCGAGCCATGCAGTAATATTGAACCCTGGTTCGGGATGATTCTGGATAGGGTCACCGAAGAAGTAATCGATTCCCAGAACGTGGAAACCTGTACAGTGCAAGGGGGATGAAATGTTTAACAGAGGTCCATACTGATGGGTTATCCCTCACCTTGACTCGCGAACCAATCCTGCAGCATGAAATTGTTGTCGAGGAATGGTCCATAGACGTCCGAGAAGAAGAAAATGACTTTCTTCTCGGCGGCATCGACGCTAGACGAGCATAAGTAAGAAGAGCCATCGTGAAACCCTCCAATTATCGAAGTGACCTACGGAGGTTCGGCATAGTAGGTAGGAACGTCAGCGATAGTAATGTTCTTTCCCTGCATTACACCATGGTACCGAGCACCAGTGATGCAGTCTGGTCCAATCGAGGTAGCCAGCCAAGTATTCCCATCCGAGGCTGTGGTTGCATGTGAGGCGTGATCATCAGCCGCCGGGAGAGCGGAAGCCAGTGAAGGAAGAAGCGAGAGGGCGAGGAGTGCGTAGGTTGAGATGAGCTTGAGCATTGTCGTGGCGATGTTGGGTTTGGGGAACTGGGAGCTCAGGATTTTCCCTTCACTAGCCTCTGATACTTATATGACGACGGTGGAGAACTAGGAATCGTGGCCAAATTAGAAACTACCGAGGAAGAGAAGTTATAAAAAGACTTCGACTTCGATTTGCCAGAGGCTTCTGAGTCGGAGAGTAATTACGGCCATGCACTTCATGTGTCACCTATCGATACTATCGCCACACACCCAACGAAATACATTTACGAAACGGCAGAAACAAAAATACCGAGAGGCTTCGAGCTTATTCAGTACTTTGTCTGACGGTACGTTATCTTCGTGAGGCATAGTTCGAGTCATTCATGAAAGCGAGTAGAAACGACTCACGAGAAGGTTCCGGTGGAAACGTGTGTCAAGATATTTGAGAGTTCTCAAATCCGTGGTGTTCCCATAATCCGCTGATTTCCCGACGTATCCGTAGAGCGCTCGTTCCCAATGGCAGGTTCCACTACTACTATCATCTGAGTGCCAATCAAGACCAAATGTACAAAGACTACGATAATACCGTTACAGTTGTGAGATTAGGCTCGAACCGAAATGCGTACTCCGGTTTCCAAACTCGTCTCAACCGCATCCAGATAGTCCTTGATCCTAACCGCATCTTCCAGCGTCGCATAGCTGCCTTTCTCTCCTTTCGCAAACTCCTCCCAATTCCTCACCAAGGACCCAATGGGGCCTTGCTGAGCTCCTTCAACTTCGACCTTCTCCCCATTGACATACAATTCTGGATCACCTAAAGTGAAGAACGAGCCATTGATGTTGTTAGGAGAGGCGGACATCTTGATCGAGCCTTCCTCGCCGTCGATCTCCCAGAGGAAGATCAGTCGACCAGGAGTCGAAGCTTTGATAGTTCTGAAGAACGAGGTGAAGAGAGAGCCGGATTCAAGGGTTGCTGTAATAGAGAAATGGTCGTTTCCTGGTGCGGGGAGGACCTCGCCAGTGGGCTCGCCGGTCTCATCGTCGACTAGACTTGTGGTTGGGTAGTGAGTTGTCCCAGTCGCACTGACCGAAACGAATTTTCCTAGAACACGGTCTACAGCGTCGAGCTGGTGTCCGACGACGATGCTGAGTGCGGTTGTCCCTGTATCAATAGTTTAACAGAGTGACCTCCTATGTTGAGTGTGAGACTCGGATATTGGATTGGACATACCGAGCTCCTTCTCGAGAAACCTCTGATTACCAGCTTTCGTCATCGGTCCCCAAGCTTGTAGTTCGGCGGGAATAGTGCTTATCTGTTATAGGTCTATGGGAATGTTCCGTTATGAATAGGACTCGTGGTAACGCACGATGTTGCTGGAAAGAACCTTTCCAATCTTTCCACTATCGATGATTTCCTTGACCTAAAGCCAATGAGCAGTCGAGCACGCTAAATCTAGGTCCAAGACCCACCTTGGCGAGAACCGGGGACTGACGACCTTGAAGCCCAACGAGCGCCTTCACTCCAGCCTTATTCGCCTCAGCTGCTAGCTCCCGCGTCTCCGCCGCATTCTTCCCAGCAGGCCATTCCACAAAGACATCCTTCTTCGCCCTGATAGCCGGGAGAAGCGCGTCTTTGTGGTACGCGGCCTTCACAGAAACAACCACCAAGTCGAGATCTTTCTCCCCACTCAGGAGGTTAGAAACGTCACCGTGGTATGCTTTGACTTCGTTCCCGGTTTCATCAGACCATTTTCTGGCTGACGCTGCGGCTGAGGCTTCGGAGGTGGTGGATACGGCGACGAGCGAGTACTTGTCGCGTAGTGAGGGTTGGACGAGGGAAGGACCAAGAGCGACGGATGCCCATCCCTTCGTGGAGAGACCGACAACGCCGACTTTGAGAGGGGAAGATGAAGACATGTTTGATAAGAGTTCGTTGGAGATGCGTACCTCTGACGAGAGACCTGGGCTTTTATACCATCAAGAATCCCTACGGATACTGTTGAGAAAAGCGTTACGACGATAGACGGCATTGAGAATCTTGAGTCAGCGCTGGATTTGTAAGGCGACGACGCCATCGCTCGGGTTTTGCGGAGGGACATTTTTGACAGAATCTGGGGCAAAAGTCAGCGCTGGAATTCCATGAGCGGGAATGATTGGAAGTGGGCGCTCTGCTGAATAAGATTCTGGTCGAACTTGCACCAGGGAAGCGAAAGTTCTCGAAGAGTCGACGAGGACTGAGGAACCCTATGTGACCATCTCCGGCCATCAACCACAGCCGAGGGGGCGCTAAAGTGTTTGTGGGCGCTTCCTCCAGTTAGCCGCACGTGTGACGACGATCCCTGCTTAATTCGACTGCTTACTGGAGTCGTGCCGTTGGGCACTCCTCCACTTCGGACATTTGTAGCTGCTTGGATCTGTAGACGCGCATACGTGCCTTGCACGTGTGCTCGAGTATATAGTCGTGTTCGTGTCGTAGTCGAGTCCTCAGGTCAATCCACATCCATTCCACCGAGAGATCCTCAGCGTGAGGGCCATCCGGCCCTCTCCATTACAGAGTCTGATATTTAGTGATTGAAGTAAAATTGTGCGGTTATTGATGCCTCTCATCCTCAACAAGGCATCTTCACCCTGGCTAGTCTCAACTGAGTTGTTGCGGGGAGACTTACTCGTCCAAACTGTATCAACGTCTCCGCCATTCCTCCGAAGAGGACAAGCACGTAAGTAGATCAACAGTAGATATCTCGATTCCTTAGTCCTCAAACGAGCGCGTACCATACTATACAGGGATGAGGATGTTACTTCAGCGACCTCCCCGACTCGACCGTTCAATGGATCGAGTTGTGAAAAGGTTTACGTCCATCAGACCCTCTCAAAGATCCAGCGCGCTTGAAGGCCATTGTCTCCTCCAATAGAAACCTGATTCAGAGAATTCAGTCGAAGCTCGCACGAATAAGCGACATTCAAGTTGGTCAGCTCTTACCTTGGTGTTCGCGACGGCTTCACCAGCGTTCCAGTAGACAGTCTTACCGCCGTCTTGGATGCTGGAGAGGAAAAGCGCGTCTTAATCAACCTTTTCAACTAAGGTTGGCTGGTTAACTTACATATAGCCGCCAGCGCTAGAGGCCAAGGTCCAAACGTAGTTCCCAGGAGGAAGGACGATGGGGACGTTACCCGAACCCCAACCGACTTGGGTGTTCCTCGCGGTCTCGGGGGTGAGGCTGGATTTAGTGGCGTCCCAATCATTCAGGATCCACTGCGAAGAGATCCGTCAGGGTATGTCAATTTAGGGAGGGAAAATGAAGAAGGCGATACTGACGATTTGGTTGGCGCCGTGGTGAAGAGGCGTGAGGGTCAATGCCTCCCTTTGATACCCGGGATAGGTGAGCGCAAGCTTCTCGCCGTTAGGACTGAGGACGCGATTGTAGATCACGTAGCGTCCGGCGGGGGGTTTGGCCTGAGTATCCATGGGTGAAGAAGTAAAGTTGGGTTTGTTGTAGATGTTGTGAGATTGAGAGTGAGTTGGTTGGAGGTCTAGTTCGCCTTGAGCTACCTCTTAAATACCTTCGAATGAAGGCTTTGAATCGGAGCTGAAACGAAAGGTCGTGACTTCACGTCCCAGATTACCGTGAGGGTCACCAAGGCCATTTCTCCGGCGAGCAGAAGTTCGGAAATAGCTCTTGACAACTTCTCTGCGGGCAGTAGGGTTATTTCAAGCTTCCATTGCATGCGCCCCATCTATCCAAAGTCATACCTTCGCCATTATTCGGTTCAAAGCACCAATGAGACGCCCCCCGAAAGCAAAGGTAAATTAGCAGCGTCCCACAGCATAGTGAACAGTAACGATTGGTCGTTGTTCGTCGAGACTATGAAGCCGCCAAGACCTCACCAAGGACCCTGAAAACAGAGTCGCTGTCCAGAAATCGTTAGCAGGTCCATCGCATGCGCAGTTCTATTTTTACGCCCGGTGGTTCCCAACGCCGTCGAGCAATTATGGCAAGAGGTTAGCCACAGTCAAGTTATCTTCTTCCGTTACCGGTAGTCCGTAGATAGGCTTCTTTGATAATGTTGACTGCAGGGCGAGTGAAGTGGGAGCCAGCCAAACCAAGGAGAGACGTCCAGTTCGCGCAGCCCATTCCCATGCAGTCCCCAGAATACGACATGGATGGCCAGAGAGCGATATTGGAAGCAAGAAAGTCCACGAATAGGAGGATCCAGGAGACTTTCGGCGGTAGTCGACGCCGGTCGACGAAGATGGTTGACAGTGACACAACCCGGATTGACGATCAAGGTCAGGTGGTCTGTAATTTCTCCGTCTGAGCAAGCCACTCCCGCTGAGAGTAAGCAGAGGCGATACGCCCAGAACCGAGAAGCGTATTGAGGGCCCAAATGAAACAGGATGGATGGCCGGTTGACGAAAGCATGAAAACGATGCCAGCAGGCACGCCACCGACTCAAGTTTTATTTGACGTTGCTTGTGATAGATGGTACCGGCAACTTCCGGCAAAGTTTTTGGTTCGTGTCTCCTGAATTCGCGGTTTCACAGACAGTGCATCAACGTGCACAAGACTCTTGCAAGACTCAGGAAAAATGTCGACGAAACAGCAGAAGGTGGTTCCAAAAATGGAGATCAACTCTCGAAAGTTAACGTCCGTTATTTCGCAGCTCGTCGAAGCCGTAAAGGCAGGAAACCTGAAGGCACTCGATGAACTCGCCGACATCATGGAAAAACGGACATACACCGTCTCCATCATCGAGGCTGTCCTTACTCATCTGCGCAAAGAGAATATCCCTCCCAAAGGGGACGACGAAACTTTTCGTGCCATGCCCATGGACTCGCTCTTCGCCTGTTTCCTCTCCTGTCTCATCATGTGCGACCGAACCACGACCCACAAGAACGAGACCGTGAAACGAATTATCGGTCAGATAGAGGGTATCCTGGGCTGGATCAGTTGTTTCTTGAAATTCGCTATCCGTACCTTTACGATGAGCGACCTGGCACCGACCCTTAGCTCGACTTCGTACACCGTATTGAGGTTGTTAAGTCTAGACGGGGACCTTACGGACGCAGTACTTCGCTCACCATCGACAGCCGAAGCTCTTCTTGACCACCTATCTGCGCCTCTCTACGATATCAGGGGGAAACCACTATATGTCTTGGAGGACGACGACGACCGCTCACGCGTCGACCCCACCCTTGCTCTGCTCCAAGAATATCCACGTAACCCGGCAGGTTGGTCAATACTAACGAGCCGAATCCTCGCCTCGCGCTTTACGACTATGCGATTCTGCGAGGGTTATCTCGGGCGAATGGAACGCCTCCCCAAACTTGGCGCGCTGGGTCTGCACCCCAACACCCTCGCGCAGGATTTTGGGGCGCTGTACTACACCCTCGGGCAATTCATCTCAACGCCGAAGATCCACCAGGAATTCAGACGTCAACGGATTCTCACTCGATGGGTCCGAACTGTCCTCGACCTCGAGATGTACTTCATGCCCGAGCACACCTTCCTCTTCCTCTCCCACATCTTCCGGGCGTCGTACCAGCCGGGGTCGAATCCCGTCAAAGGCTTTGAGGAAGTCCTCGAGGCTGGGATCTTTTACCCGCTGATGAGTGCAATGACGAAGCCAACCTCGCACCGACAGGACTACAGGAAGGTTGTAGATTGTATCGCACAGGCTCTCCTTGCGTTCGGATATCATCCGCGGACTGCTAAGCGGCTGCGGCGCGATTTCGAGGAGCATATCTCGCTCTGGAGACGACAATGTCCCCCTCTTATGGACCCGGGGCAGTGGAAGGAACTCCTCTAGAATGTTCAATATCGATTGAAAGGCCTAACTAGCCTGGCTTCGATCCCGAAGACGATTTGCGACAGCCAGGTGTGGAAATTTGACTTCAGCCTTCGACGTTATAGGCCTTAACCTTTGGGGTAGGATCACGTCGACACTGGGACCGACCAGAAGGATGATTCTAGGGAATGCTCGGGATGCCGGATGGTGGTCTATTGTAGCGCCAAGTGTCAACAAGATGACTGGCGCAGGAGGCACAGAAAGGAGTGTCGACAGATGTGCATCACCTACCTCGGTGAGTTGTCCTTCCTTCCCATTCCTACCCTATTCTCAATGAACATCACTTCGTCCAGAATGCAAAGACAACCACCTAGTACTCTCACAAGCCTCCAGGGCCATAGTCAGCCGGTACATCCGCGTCATGGTCATCGGCACTATCGTATCCCTCGAACAAGACACCAAGCGCCGGTTCCCCGATCGCCCACCAAACGCGACAATCATCATCATCAACCTGGCTGGCTCTCCATGGTCTCTTCATTATCGTTAGAGACATACCTCATCGATCGCCCTAACCTCGTCAAACCCGAATCGCCCGAACACGAGGCAAGGGCGAATGGAATTATCGAAAGGTTCAAGGACGATAAAACGGGGAAGAGGAAGCTTGTTGTGGCGTTTATGGCTTATAACCACGAGTACCGGATTTCGAATTTGATCGAGTTGGAGAATTTTGGGGATAAACCTGGTATGCTGAGGTTTGGAGAGTCGGTGGTTCAGTTCGAGTAGGTTCTTTATTTGTTGGAGCTGGTGTGTGATCGCTGACTGCGAATTCCCTGCAGGAGAAGGCAAGGAGAGGGAACCATAGCACACAAGGCGAATATGGCCGGATTTTTGGATCGACTCTGAGAGAATGTATACGTCCCGCAGATTGAATGCAAATCTTGGAGAGGCTGATCTTAAAATAGGCGCCCGCGATATTTGTACAGTATGTGATGTTTTGGTCTCATCGCTCCCACGACGAATCACCCGTCGCACAGCCATACCTGCTTTTGAAGTGGGTCTCAGTCACACCCTTAGCGAGTGATACATAGCGTGAAGCAGGATAGTTGAAGGCCAACGTCTCCAGTGTCACAGCTAATTCCTCACGGAGGACACCACGAAGCGAACGTCAACTGGAACCCCTCGGCTGGGACCTACAGTAACACCGAAATACACTCGTTCCAACACCCAGCGGGAGAGTAGACCAGCGTCGTTCCCGATGGATACCTGCGAACAGTCGGTGAAATCGCTTTTGGTATATGTACCATACAACGGTGTAGTCAATTTACGCACCCTGCTATTCACAACCGGATGAGGAACCGACCAACATACCCTCCTCGCTTGGTCGCGGATCCTAGCTCGTAGTTAGACCTCTCAGGTGGATGTGGACTCTGTAGGAGATAATATGATGGAACGTACATATATCCGTCCGGACTAGGTTCCAAAACCCAACGGTGGCCTCCAGGTGGGAAGACAACTAGGGTGTTCCCGTCTCCACGCCCAACTTCCAATCCTCTCGCAACGTCGGGACTGAACGCTGGCATCACTGAGTCGCTGACAACCCACTATCCAGCGGGTGCCATATATTCGGTGGTAGGGGCAAGGTAGTAGTAGTGGTGAGTTAGATAAGGGAGGCAAAGGTCAACGGATGTGTCGGATACACCCACGATTTGCTTAGGAGTGTGATCCAAGGTGGTTAGTTTCAGCGGTGCGTTCCGACGTCCAGACCATGTAATCGCGAGCTTCTCCCCTTCGGGACTTAGAACGCGGCTGTAGATCACGTAGCGTCTTAGTGCTGGATTGTTTTCTGCGTCCATTGGTCGAATGGCTTCGCGAGAATTGAGATAGAATTTCACTCGAAGTGGATGTGTCGACGGAAAGAGAACTTGCGGTATGTGAACACGGGAAATACATAAGGAAACCCCACTTGCGGGGTTTGGGTGCCAAGGTGGTTCGTGCGTTGAGTGCACGGATACGCGAGATCGGAGTGAAGCAAAAATAGTAGTCGGTGCGCCTATTTTGAGACTTTGTCCAAATCGTACAGTCCAGCACCCGGGCTCGCCCAAAGGACTTGATTACTCTCTTGAGAAAAGACTTAGGAATATATTCTCTTACGGGATGAACGGGATATAGGAAGAAATGACGACATGACCATTGCGGCACCAGTCGCGTTCAGATTGATTGCAAGGTTCGGGTGTACATGATTGTCAACTGGAAGTACTCTAGCGCTCCTTCGACTAGAACCGACCGGAATACGCCACTGAGAGTCCAGATATGCTCTTCTGGGACTTGAGGAAGGCGTCTTCTAGACCTTCTCGATGACCCAGCGGCCAGAGAAGGTCGCATCTGCGCCAATGGAGACCTAGTTGAATCTCAGTCAGGTACATTCGCAAAGACAACACAAACGATGCGCAACCTACCTCCTCTCCTGCAGTGGCGTTGTTAAGACTCCAAGAGACGGTCCTCTTGCCATCTTGAATGCTGCCACCAAACGAGTCAACATCGCAATGTTCATGTAAAGCAGAAAGGAGAAAGGAGTGGAGGACGAGTACGTACTTGTATCCAGCAGAGGTCCATGTCAAAGTCCAGACGTAGTTGTTGGGAGGGAGGACGACGGGGACGTTACCAGCGCCCCACCCGATCTGGCTGTTGGGGCTGCTGGCGGGGCTGATGCTCCAGGTGTTCGAGTTCGAGTCGTAGCTCCTTAAGATCCACTGAAGGGCATTTGATCAGCATTGTAGTATATGTTGAAGAGGAAGGCACGTACGGCTTGCTCAGAACTCCCGTCCAACGGGGATACGGTGACGGGGGTACGCTGCCTCCCGGGGTAGGTCAACGCGAGTTTCTCGCCCCTGGGGCTGAGAACGCGGTTGAAGATTACGTAGTGACCAGCGGAGAGGGTAGCTGGGGAGTCCATTTCAGTCACGATTTAGAGTAGAGAGAAGTTCTTGTGGGCTTTGAATGGGAGTGAGAGTGCTGAGGCCTGAGATTTTCGTCCTTCAGCATGGAGGTTTATATACCTGTGCATGAGGGGTTGAAGCGGAGGTGAGTGGGGAGAGGTCATCACAATTAATGAGTGGCGAAACAGGTGTTAGCAGCGGCGTGGTCTTCCATTCGATCTCCTCTCCCCATCGTACGCTTCTAGCCAGCTCGTGGCCACTTTCACCTGTACTAGTAGCCCAGAAGGAAGACCTTTATCACCATATCCTTCTCAAGTGACTGTACACCAGCTCGTGTGTATCATTCGCAGCTCAGGTGGCGACGATGGAACGACGCCGCACGCGCTTAGAACCACAGAGGAAATCAAGAAGCGCTCTGGTTCGAGTCGCCTGACCAGTAGGCCACATATTGGACGACCTGAATGAGGCTATTTGAGGTTGGTATCTGAATAACCAGTGGGTGTAGAAACGAAGGGATCGCCCTCCAGCTTCCTCTCTAGCGTCAGATCGGAATTTAGTGTTTTGTTTGCCGGTCCCATTGGAAACAAACAAACATTTACAACACGCGGGTTCGAATCCTACGGTTGACAGCCTTGTCTCTTTATGCCCACTCCTGACCATCTCGTTTTGTGTTCCGTGGTTCCAGTTGTCGATGAAAACACAGTTTCGACCCTTTAAATGTCCTCCAAAGACAAATGAGGCTACGGGCTTGTCGCAGTTCAGCTCGTTTCGCCACGTCATGGTTCGACAAGCCAGCCACCCCGCAAGTCACACTCCCCGTCGTCGACTCGACCTATTACCTGTGGATCATCGTCATAGAGCTCATAGAACTCACCAACCCACCATCCTCACATACTGTTCCTGAGCCCTGCACCCTCATCTCCTGACCTATGTCTATCTGCCGCACCCTCCACACATTTATCTTTTTCGAGGTCTGCGATTCCCATCGGGCGATTAACGGATTTTGTGGAATTCGCGTCTTCGCTTCGTTTTAGTCATGCCAGGATTTCTGTTGTAACGATGCCTTTGGGTGTGTCCGTTCCACTCGCGACGTGATTGTGGTATGGTGTCTTCTGTCTTGGGGGGCTGTGGGGCTGGGGTACTGCTGTTCTGTTTCGTCGCTCTGCTTCCGCTTCGACTCTCGAGGTCGCTCTTCGAAGACTTGTGTTAGCTTCGTCCGTCTCGGCCTATCCTCGATGGATAATCAGTTTACGAAAGAGGCTCGTACTTATATCACAGCCCTTCCCTATCGCAGTGTTCAGCTGTGTCTCCACCATGCGAAGTGCTACTCTCGGGATGTCGCTCTCATCCATCACCCTCTACCTCTTCGCTCTTCTCACCCTCCTCCCCACACCTCTCCGAGTCAACGCATCTCCAGTCCAACCAGAGTACTCCCATGCAGACCATATCCAGCCACCTCACTCCCATACAGACCACATCCTAGCAGGAGCCATAGGACCAGACTGCGTCGACGGGGCAAAATACACCGGGGAAGCAGCGGGGAGGAATATCACCATCGCCGACGTCCCAACATACTACTCGCCTGCTGCGGACGAGGATTCGAAGAAGGTCGTCCTGTACTATTCGGATATTTATGGACCTTTCTATGAGAATAATTTTTTGCTGCAGGATTGGTTTGCAGAGAATGGTGCGTTTGTGCTGCGATTTGATGTTTAACCTTTCGCGAGTGGCCTGGGAGTGATGTATGATCTGTGTATGATGCGTTACAGGGTACCATGTCCTAGGCCTCGACTACTTCTTTGGAGACCCCATCCAGAATCATCCTGAACCGGATTTTGATATGGCGGCGTGGGTCGCAAAGTCGCGTGCTCAGGCTGCTGAGGCGCTCCCCAAGTGGAACAAGGCGGTTAGAGAGAAGTTTGGTATGTACTTCTCCCTTCGCTTCGTGCATCGTCGTTACCTTGTGGATAGGACCCGACGCGAAATTCGTGGCTGTGGGATACTGCTTCGGTGCGCCGTACGCGTTGGAGATTGGGGCTACGGATGAAGTCGTCGCTAGTACGTATACGTCGTCGAATTCTAATCCATCCGCTTTCAACTTATCCATTGTATTTGTAGCTGCCTTCGCCCATCCATCTCAAGTGACTGAATCTCACTTTGAGAACGTGACTAAACCCGTGCTACTCTCGTTGGCCGGTGAGTGGATGAACCATTCGAATTCCTCCAGCCAGTAAAACCCTGATAACGTTACACTAAAACCAGAAACGGACGGAGCCTTCCCCACCGCCGCCTCCCGCCGCGCACTCGATATCCTGATGAGGAGAAAAGCGACTTATCATGCCCAGGTGTTCTCGGGTGTTTCGCATGGGTTTGCGACGAGGGCTGATCCGAATGATGCTAATGCTGGTGCGTTGACTGACGTCTATTCGTCGTCTTGGTTGGAGGGGGTTGATACTGATGATGTTTTTCTATTCGGTAGTGTGGGCCAAGGAGCAATCGGCGAAGAGTATCCTTGGGTGGTTTGATAGGTTTTCAAGCTGAATGCATATAGGATGTAGCCTCGTGATCCAGACTCTTGGTCCGAGAAGATAATCCACCATCCTATTCTCAAGTCGGCTCTTCTCTTCGAGCAGACAACGTGGGCGCCTGGGGCCTCAGGCCACGACTCAGAGGTCACTTTGGACTGCAATAATAAGTCTCCGTTAGTATATCGGTTAGTACACGCGCCTGTCACGCGCGAAAGCTGGGTTCGACTCCCAGACGGAGAGAGTTTCTTTTTGCATAAAATGAAACGGGCAACGAAGAAAGTCTGGGCCCATGGAGCACCTGAAATTCTGTATGATTCTGTCCTGTTCTACGACGTTCTAAAGGCCAAAAGTTAGGAGATTTCTAATAACGGATGACGAAGACAGGTCAACTTTGGGACCAAAATGGACGTTGCGCACGTTGGGACCAAATCGTTTTGCCAAACGAAAGCCTGGATCGTGTCATCGGCGAGGTCGATGGTACAACCTCGAGAGCTGTTCTGACGTTTGGGCGCTACGCTCTGGTCAAGAAGGCCAGAGATAGGTCAGTGCTTACTAGTTTTGTGATTTCGGCGCTCTAGCTGCCTCGAATTTCTGCGCCATTTGGCTTACTCAGACGATTGCGCTCTATCTCGCTACGCGACGCTTCTGACGTGTTCTTCGCCCCTGACAAGACTCGACGAGATGTTTAAAAGGGGCAGAATGTCCTAGAGGTCGTCATCATACAATCCACCCACTCGAATACGTCAATAATGTCTTCTACTTCACCTATCAAAGTCGGTTTCGTCGGTCTCTCCAGCAAAGGCTGGGCATCCCAATCGCTCGGACCAGGTCTCACCCAGCCCTCCCTCCGCGACAAGTACGCCCTCGTCGCCGTCTCAACCACCTCCCCCGCCTCCGCACTCGAATCCGCAAAGAAGTGGTCCGTAGCAGCCGGTCGGGAAGTGAAAGCCTACCACGGCGGCGTCACGAATCTCATCGAGGGGGAGAAGGATAATGTGGATCTGGTTGCGATTTCGGTGAAAGCGCCTAGTCATCGGGATGTGGTGCTGAAGGTGATCGAGGCGAGGAAGGATTTCTTTGTGGAGTGGCCTGTTGGGAAGAGTCCGGCTGAGACGAGGGAGATTAGGGATGCGGCGAGCAAGGCGGGGGTTAGGGCGCTTGTTGGCTTGCAGGGGCGTCATTCGCCGGTTATTAATAAGGTGCGTTGGGTTGTTTTTGGAGGGTTGATTGGAGTTGGTGTTGACGACGTGTTGCTCGTGGTTTAGGTTAAAGAGATCATTGCGAGTGGGAAGATTGGGAAGGTTCTTTCCTCGAATATCGTGCGTCCCCTTTGGACATCATCCTCGCCTGAATTGTCGCTGATCGTCTCTGTGCAGATCGGAAACATCGCTCTCGACAATCAAGTTTGGTTCAATGAAGCGTCGAACGCTCGATACCTCCTCGATAAAGCCAACGGTATGTCCACGCTTCTCCTTGCCGCCTCTGAATCGACCCAATGACATATGCTTTACAACAGGTGCGACTCACTTGACGATTCACATCGGCCACCACCTCGACAACCTCACCTACCTCCTCGGAAACTTCACCTCCATCAGCGCTACGGGCGTGACCCACTACCCAAAGACGACGGTCCTCGACGGTTACAACGGCAAACCCACAGGCGAGGTCCTCCCAGGTATCGGGAACGACCATCTCGCGATCACGGGTACACTCTCCACCGGCATCCTCGTCACCTCCGTCTGGAAATCCGTCAACAGCACCACCCCAGGCCGCAACAACTTCCTGTGGGAGATCGATGGTACCGAGGGCACGATTCGGTTGACGAAGGAGGGTACGCCGATGGCCTCGTTTACGAGTTTGTGCGAGCCGGATTTGTATGTTAATGGGGAGAAGGTGGAGGTGGAGGGGAGCGAGAAGGGTGTGGTTGGGTTTGTGGAGAGAAATTGGGAGGAGTTTGCGAAGGGTGAGAAGGGGAGGCATGCGACGCTTGATGATGCGGTTAGGTTGAAGAGCTATTTGGAGGCTATTGACGAGAGTTTGGAGAGTGGGAAACGGGTTAGTTTTTGAAGGCCGTGTTAATATTTCGGGTACATGCTGTGTACTAGCTAGGATAAGATACTGATTTCGATTTTGCTCTATACTTTGGTCTGGGTGGCGCTAACGAACCTTGGGCGCTCAACTCGACATGATCCACAACGCTGCTGGTCGATGAACAAAAAAGGAGGCCCTTTGGATCTCTGTCTTAGTGTTAACCTTAATCGCATCATAAGCATATTGTCACGGTATTGTCCCGTTGTCCAAAGCCACAGTAAGTAAGAAGTGCTACGAGGAACACCGAGCGCTACTTTACAAGACTGCCGCGTACAGATAGATGACAACGAATCATATTCGAACTACGGGATTCAGATTCAGGTGCTTAACGATCGGGGGGTGAATATAACTAGATACCGCCATCAGCATTGCCGCCATAAAGATGAGAACGAAACCACCGTACCTCCACGTTCAGAGTCCACAAAGACTCGCGTCAACACGGGTAGCCTCAACCTGAACATTAGGCGGGACAGGACTTCCCCTCGGAAGATTCAAAAGATCGGTCAAGACATCCGTGCACATCACGAACCCCCTAGGGGCAGTATTGACCGCCGTCAAAAAGACCGTATTGGCAGGTCCACCACCGTTGGTAGGGATGGAGGTGATGTTGAAGCAGCTACCACAGTCGGGGTCGTCGCTTTGGGTGATGAACTCGGCGCCTCCGATGACGGGGAAGCTGGGGAAGGACCCGAAGGTGGGGAATTGGGAGACGAGGTTGCCGCATGCGGTGCTGGTGGTGCGTTCGGTGCTGGTGCAGTAGCGACGCTCGTCGACGATGGGGAACCGTTGTTGGGCGAGGGCGCTGGTGATGGTGGTGGTGGTGAGGAGGAGAGCGAGGTGAGTGAATTGCATTGTCGTGGTTGTTGTGTGTGGGTTGGGTAGAAGCTTCTGTTGTTTGAGAGGATTGAAGATTCTGGGGATTGGGAAGCGTTTTGGACGAGTATTTTATACCTTGAGAGCATTGTTTGGAGAGGTATTTGCCCGTGTAGCAAAATTGTTTCTGTGACTTTGGGTTGGCGTCCCAGTTGCCGTACGCTTCCATTCCACGCGATTCAGAGTCTATAGATTTACAGCCACAAATCCGCGATATCCACGGTATGAAATAATGATCTTATCTAATGGAAAAGACTAGTCCGTCCATTACTTGCACAATTCTAAGTTTCAGGTTTTCAAGATGTTGTCCCATTTAGCGGACAGAGTGAACGAGCGGCTGTTCTCTGCATCCCTGGAGTGGAGACCTTTTACGTTTGAAGCCCCAAGGAGCTTTAAGGGCGCTCGGACTGACCGCTGAGGTACGCTCTAGGTTTCCAACTCTTCCACGAGCCGTAGGGCAACCTTGAACACAGAGAACGACCGACACTCTTCAGGAAGCACTGTGATGAAGTACTGTTTGCTGCCATACCCGCACCTTCCCCGCAGAACGCCTTTAGCCTGGAGAATCCTGATGGATCGCCCTGTCACCCTTTGCCGACGTGTTGATTTTGATATTCTTACAGTACTATCAATCCCGCCCTTCAAGGGGACAACGGATGTTACGGAACACAAGCGCATGTCTGCGTGTCTGTAGCGTAATTCCTGCGTCAACTGAGATCGCGTCTTCATTTCAAATTACTCAATTGGCGGATTATATGGGTGTCCGTTACAGCAGGCAAACCATGGGCCGCGAGATCTGGAGTAAAGCCTCAAGTGAAATAACGTATTGGGGGATTGGGGAATTGGTATCGAGGCTATTTCATCAGCGCTGGTCGTGAATCATAGTCAGCAGAAAGGTTGAAATGACGTCGAAGTAACGGAATCAAAATGAATATCCAGGTACTCTGAGCGCGCAGAAGGCATATACCCAAACCCCGAATGTAAACGCTTAGAGTCCCAGCGCCACTCGACTAAGCGCTAGCTCCATGACATTACCAAATCAATACACCGCCTGCTCGGCTGAAGTAACAGTTTAAATTTTATTTCGAGGTGTACCTACAGGAACCAAGTCCGATTAGAGAGCTGGCCTCATGGTATGTAAAGGAATGATAAGCACAAGTTGGGTGATCCGTAATGTGCAGTTTTCACTCCCGTGAACGGCGGGGAACCAGCCCTCCGTCGTGCACTCTGCGAGCAGCTTTGGCCTGTCCAGAGCCGGAGGTTTCAAATATAACCCTTACGTTCATTGGCCGTCGGACCCAAACTCTTTGTGAAGGTATATAAATGCGAAAGTAAGTGATTCCTGAAGCCTTTGCCTTCTGGATCGAAGTTCAGAGAATCTCGATCGAAGGAGTATACTTGCGGGTCCGGCGCAATCGCACCCACCCAGCCGCCACATCCTTTCGAAGCGGAGTTTTCGAACGGTACCGACACGGCGATCATAGCCATGTTCACTCCATCCCCATGTACTGAGCCGACTCCACTGCAAGCTTTCTGCTTGGTATGAGACCGTGCTGTGCGTGCGCGTTACGTTTCGCTAACACTGGTTAGGTACATGAAAGGATACTATAATGAGGAGAGGATATCTCTACCTACCTAAGGAGGGGAGCCGGGAACCCTCCAACGCCCAAGGACCGAGGTAATATATATACCCGCCGGCAGTCCTTGTAGGCAAATATCCCAAAGTAGATAAGTAACCCAAAGGTAAAGCTCAAACGAGTTCGTTTTGATCAACAAAGACAAAGTTTAAAAATGAAACTTGAACTGTTTTGAGTACTATTGCATCCGAGCAGGCGGCAACCACTTCCAGTCCGAGGATGGAAAGGGATGGAAACACCGGTGAATCACAGAGTGCCGCTGGGATGTAAGATGCTTGCATTCGTGGTATGGGTACGTTATAGAATTACGATGTACGCGCTCAGAGCTGTTGAAATGTCCATTTGATTCCGTTAGGGCGACGTCATTAAACGCTGCTGCTTACTAGAATTCAAGGCCAGCGCTGATGAATTACCGTAGCTTCGATACCAGCCCTCCGAACCCCAAATACTTTATTTTACTCGACACTCTCCTGCAGAGCTCTAGACCCACGGTTTAGATTCTGTCACGGACGCCAATGTAATAGGATAGCTAAGTAATTGAAATGAAGACGCAGTCTCTGTTGGCTCTAGTCCTAATCTCCGCTGACTCAGAACTTACGGTACAGACATGCAGACATGCGCTCAATGTGTTCCGTAACATCCGCCGTCCCCTTGAAGAGCGGGGTTTATAGTATAAAACATCATCAGAACGTCGACCAAGTGACAGGGCGGCGATCCATCAGGTTTCTCTGAGTTCAAGAAGTTGCAAGGTCCGGGGGAGGGAGCGAGAAAGCGAGCAGTCCAATGGCCTCTGAGAAATATTGATAAGGCTCCAGGGCGTTGCTATGTTGGAACTCGCCCTAGTAGTGCTGTTCAATGGGTGGTAACTCTGTGGAGTATCTCAGTGCTCAACCATGGGCGCTCTTACAGCTCCTTGGGGCTCTCTCTGAACGTAAAAGGTCTCCATTCGACACATCTGACGGGGAATGGTCGTTCCTTACCTCTATCCGCTAAATGGGACAACATCCTTGGAACCCAAGATTTGGAATTGGGTAAATAATGGATGGACTAGTGTGATGCAGTACGGTAATATCGTCATTTTAATCCGTGGATATCGCTGGTTTATGCTGTAAATCTATAGGTTTTGCATCGGGTGGAATGCAAGTGTACGGAAGATAGGACGTCAAATCAAAGTAACCATACAGAAATGTTTGCTACATGAGCAAATACCTCTCGGAACAATGCTCTCCAGGTATAAAGGCTTCGTCGAAAACACTTCCAAGTCCTCAGAGTCATCAATCCTCTCAGACAACAGAAGCTTCTACACCAACCTTCAATTTAAACCACACCAACAATGCAATCCACCAACCTCGCTCTCCTCCTCACCACCACCATCACCACCGCCCTCGCCTAACAACACTTCCCCATCGTCGACGAGCGCCGCTACTGTGTAAGCACCGAACGCACTACCACCACCACATGCGGCACCCTCGCCTCCCAATTCCCCACCTTCGGGTCCTTCCCCAGCTTCCCCGTCATCGGTGGTGCCGAGTTTATCACTCAGGGCGACGACCCCGATTGTGGGAGCTGCTTCAACATCACGTCGACACCTGCCAACGGTGCCGGTGGACAGGCAAATACAGTGTTTTTGACGGCGGTTAATACCGCGCCGAGGGGGTTTGTGGTGTGCACGGATGTGGTGACGGATCTTTTGGGGTTGCCGAGGGGTAGCCCGGTCCCGCCTAATGTGCCAGTTGAGGCTGTGAGGGTTGAGGCGGGGCTTTGTGGACTGTGAGCGTCAGGTATGGGCTTGGAGTTGCAGGGTTCGATGGGAGGATGCTGACGGTATTCGTAGGTTCGCACGTGGTTTTCTGAGTCGGAATTCCGTGGTCCCAATCTGAATCGTTCCCTTCTGTACCCCTTGTAAAGTAGTACTCGGTGTGCCTTGGTAGTACACGATATCTGTATTTACAATACGTATGTATACGATTAAGCTCCTAAATTCGACGTTAGAGTGAAATTTAGGAAGCATCATCGTTTGAACCCCAGGCGTCAATCACATTCGTGAGAAGAATGTCCTGATTGACGCCCGATACACCCTTCGACCCTCGCCGTCAAATTCTGCACACCGACGAAGCGCATGTAGACCTCACTTCGAGTATGTCAGCTCGAGTTAATAATGCTGTCTATTTTCAGCGTCATCCTTTGCCTCCGTGCATGGTGGAGTCCGAGTCGAGACGCCCATGAAGGGCAAGCCGCGCCGGCATCCTCAAAAATTGCCGATCGGCTTCGCTGACTCATCCGTATTTGCGCAAGGGCTCGTCATCGATCTCTCTCACCCTCCGACCATGTTCGCAACTCAGACCCGGTTCACGACGATTTCAATGGACTTAACTTGTGCAACCAAGGCTATTTATGGACCGACCGACGTCACTCCCCCGCCGTCGCGATTTTCTCCGAGAGGATATAAAGGAGGAGGACGTTGCCCGCTGCTGCGTTTTACGGACTGATATACCATCATCGCAATGGCGCCTCCACGAAGTGCGTTGTTTTCTCTGTCTCGTCTTCTGGATGTCGTTTGACGCTGTACTCTAGAGGCCCGTCACGCCGCCCGTGAACCCCAACCGCGTCGGGTGGTCTTCACACTTCGCACCGTCCTCTATGCAATTGCGTTCTTCTTGATCTTTGGACTGAGTGAGTACCGTCGCCATCGACCAGTTTACCTTGGCTCACCCGCGTGGTATCGCAGCTGTATCCGAACTGGGCCTAGTCTCGAGTCAGCTACACAAGTACGGCGAGGGATACACCAACTATCCTTCAAAAGGCTACAAGCACACCCTCGGGCTCCTGCTCTTCTCCGTCATCTGGTCGCTGCTTGGTGTTCTCGGACATCCTTGGCTTGGAATTGGGGGTACGTCGTTCGATTGATTCATTCTCATTTGCTGCTCACATCCTCGTCTCGGCTCGTTCTATAGCGACTGCCATCTTCTCGTTCAGCGCTGCGGTCTTCTTCGGCGTCGGCGCTGGTTTGATCCACCTCCGGACTCCGTTCCAGGGGCACTCGTGTAGCTCGAAGCCTGTGGAGGAGTACCCCGTCGAATGGCAGCCCTATGCTGAGGAGTGTGCGATTATCGTGTCGATTCAGGGTTGCGCCTGGGCACTTTGTGAGTCATCGGTTTTTGTAGTTCATTCTTCGAATTCTAATTGAGGTGTAGGGGCTCTTTATATCTTCCTGATGGTTGGGACGATCGTCCACAAGTTCGATATTCGCCGACGTCCCACCCCTGAAGGATTCTATCACTCGAAGCCCTAGAATGCCGTCGAAGTTGCAAGTAATGCGGTCTACGTCCCTCCCTTTCCGCTCATCATCATCGTCACTTTTCTTTCTTTCCTTGTCTATTAACATTTAGTTCTACTGACAATCGATTTAACGAACATGGAATGGAATTCACGAATCTCGTCAGACAGTAATACGTTTCCCTGTGCTAAGACTTTCCTCGATGGCATCGACAAGGCGTTTGACACGCACGGCGTCTTCGATGGTTGCATGCTTACCCTCTTCTCCTTTCGCGAACTCCTCCCATCCGCGGATGAGTGGTGCGAGTGGACCCAACTCCCTCTTCCCCGCCCAATCCTTATCCACACCCTCATCCGCATATCCATCCACATCAACTTTATCTCCATTAACGAACAGCTCAGGCTCAGAGATATTAATAAACGCCCCCGTCACCACACCTTCCTTTCCTCTCAGCTCGATCGTCCCGTCTTCCCCGTCGATAGACCAGAGGAAGCTCGTTCGACCGGGTGTACTAGCTTTCTGCCCTGCGCGCCAGAGGATGCTCGAGAGCGTGCCGGTGGAGAGGAGGCCGGTGATGGCGATGTGGTCGTCCCCGGGTGTCGTGATTGTTTCGCCTGTGGGGTTTCCTTCGTCGTCGACGAGGGAGGAGGATGGGTAGTGTGTGGTGGAGGTGGCGCTTATTTGGGTGAATGGACCGAGGAGGTAGGTGAGTGTGTCGAGGTGGTGCCCGATGGGGCCTGTTAGGACGTTGGCGCCTACCGAGGGTTATGAGGTTTATTAGAGAGTCTTTCGAGAAACGGGTGACTGGGGCAGGCGTACCGTTTTCCTTATTCTCGAGGTACTCTCTGAGGCTCGCTTTCGCTTCTGGACCGAATAGGTGGAGTTCGCGGGGGCAGAGGGCGACCTTTAAATTGTTCAAAGCTCGTCAGGGTTCTAACTTTTCTTCATCGATGTAAGTACTCGGGGGTTGGACTAACCACGTTCGTTGAAAGAACTTTTCCGATCTTGCCGCTCTCGATGATCTCTTTCGCCTTCAAAACTTGCGTGAGCCTTCACGCCACGAATTTACTTCGAAAAACACAGTTTGGTGAGCGACTGACCTTATTCACAGCCCAACCCAACCGCCCCTGCAGCCCTACAATGGAGCGAACACTATGCCTTCGAGCTTCGGCGGCTATTTCGCGCGTTTCGTACGAGTTGCGCCCGACGGGCCATTCGATGAAGAAGTCCTTTTTGGAGCGGATGATGGGGAGGAGGGTGGGTTGGTGCGAGAGGGGCCGGATCGAGATTACTGCTAGGTCAAAGTCAAAGGGCAGCTTGCCGGCGTTATTGTTGTTGTTTAATTTGTTATCGGAATCGTCGTTCTTGGACTCGTCGTTGTCGGACTTGACGTTATCAGACTCGTTTCCCCAGTGGGTGTCTGCAGCACCTCGAAGGAGGTTGGACTCAACATCCCCATGAAACGCCCTCACTTCATGTCCAAGTTCGCGGGACCATTTTTCCGCGGTTTGGAGAGCGGAGGAGGGGGATGTGGTTGATACGGCTACGAGGGAGTAGGTAGAACGGAGGGAGGGGTGGGTGAGTGATGGGGCGAGTGTTGTGGATGCCCAGCCTTGGGTTGAGAGGCCGATGAAGGCGACTTTGATTGGTGCGGTGGGTGGGGCGGAGGTCATTTAGGTGTAGGCTCTGAGAGGGTGAGACTCGGAAAGGAGGGTAGGGTAGGGTAGGGAAGGGGAGCGAGTTTATAATATAGGGGATTGGTTATCTCTGAGCGCTATAGGCGGCTTTAGATGACCGTACATATTTAATTCATTCATTCGGATGGAATTGGGTTTTTCGAGGCGAATGACGACAACGAAGTCGTTTCGTGCTTCACACCTAGAAGGCAACTAAAGGCGTTATAAGACTCGAGGATGGCGTTTCTCGAATCATCCATCCCCAATGATGGATAGACTATACCGTTTGGAAATGTGATACATACCGTTAGGGTAGGGAGTTTCATCAGTAAAGTTGCCGCAGAATGTGTTGGTTGAACGGTGAACTTGGTCAGCAATGTATATTTTTGCGTTATTGAGATTACGAAGTGAGGTGAATTTGGGGATTCGGACATAACGAGGAGATGGTGCGATAACTGGATAATGTGCTGAATACATGGAGTAAATACATGTAATGTCGCGGTGTTTTGGCTACACGAGTAATTATCACCGGTGACACGGGAGAGAAGCGCCCATTGACAGGTACTCTAGGCGCCCGTCAAGACTTTCGTGAATCATTATTTGCCCTTCCCATTCAATCCAAACAGGCATTACTTTGCTTTGGGGTTATTTCCAAAAGTCGTTCCTTGACGTCTATTCCAAGAGAACAGCTGGAACGGTCCCGTCATTATCTCTTGAGCGGGGTTCTGAGAATTGGAACTTGGAAGGCGAGTGGTGGCGGGTAGTGGGTAGTGTGGAAACAGGAAAAGCCCGGGCTGTCAATCGTACGCTTACTATATCGATGAGTTTACCACTCTCGTGGAGGATGTCGCTTGGCAAGGTTATTCTTGAGCTTGAACGACATCTGTTCTTAATTGAACAGCACGGGGACAAGGTGTATTAAAGGTTTCCTGTGCTTCCATTGGAGAGGATGAGCTGGTCGTCGAGCTCGGTCTGGTTACGAGTCTATGATATTAATTAATACATACAACATGTCGTCCAAATCGTAAACAACATCCCTCATCATATCCATCATCCAATGGGCAAGAATCGTTAAGTCACTCCCTGAAGTCCATTCCAGCGAAACCAATTGCGAAGCGTATCATCGCATTACGCGGACATTAGATGGCGCATCCGATCCATCCATCAGAAACGAGTTGGCGTCAGGCGTCGAGCTCATGTCGCTCCCCCCTCCCATCCACTGGGAATTACGGGCATCCACCATCGACTTTCGTAAGGGGGTCAACGAGGACGGTGTAGTAGGGCTGGGGAGCACCTGAGATTGACGATACTGCTGCTGTTGATGCTGTTGGAGACCCGCGGGATATGCTCCAGACCCTCCGTAGTAGTTCGAGGCGTTCGAGTCATGCCCGATGACGGTTGACTGAGGTCGCGGGTAGGGAGGAATTGACTGTTGCTGAGGTTGGTGAGGCGAGAAAGCAGAGTTGGTCGGCGATGACCATGTCGGCGAGGCGTTGGGATTGGTGACCTGTGTGTAGAGCATCGGAACGGTACTGTTGTTGCTCGTAGGGACCGAGGACAAGCTGGGGTTGGTCTGTACTGTTCCTAACGACGGCGGCGGCTGGTACGAATACTGGACCATCTGAGAGGGATACATTCCTCCTGTTGGCGGAGGGGAAGGACCTTGAGTCGAGGTAGCGTTGCCAGTCGACATCGGAGAGGTGCTGATCAACGGCGGATTCGCATTGGCCATGGTGCTTTCCTTCTTCTTCTTCTGTCGTCGGATGACGAAGAAGGTCAGTAATGCACATGCCACAAGGAAGACCACTCCCCCGACCGCGCCCCCAACAATCGCTCCCACAGGTGTCTTCTTCGGACTTGGATCGTCATTCCTTCCGTTGGTCCCTCCCGCAGTGCCGCCAATAACCTTCGCCTCTCCACCGGGAGGGACGTGGATATCGCCGTCTTCGATGATGAGATAGTCCAGGGTGAGGGGAGCCGATGGACCCATATGGGTGACGACGAGTTTGTGTGGTCCGCGAGATTGTAGACGGGGCGTTTCGAAGAAGTTTTGGTAATAGAGGGTTCCATTGGCGTCCGATGGAAGCCCTGGGATTTCGAATTCGACAGGGTCATCTCCGTCGATTGACCAAGTTCCTGTGGAAGCGCCAGTTGGGTAGGCGTCGGGCATCCAGCCCACCCAAGTTGCTTTCGTTCCTGCACACGCACTTTCAGTAGGAAGTGCGATTTCGACATATCATTGTATTACTCACCATTGAATTCAACGGTCGCTCTTGCACCCCGATCCAGCGTGAGCATCGTCTCATTCCCGTGCGATCTCCAGGTACCCGAGTCGTAGGTTAGCCCAGGATCAGTGCTGTCCAGGAAAACAGTCGGGTGAAGCGTCTCTCGGTCCTCCCAAAGGGGTCGATATTGGATCAAGTCGACATAGAATGGATGCTCCTCCGAGGCCGCCGTGCCGATGGTGATGTTATGAGGACCGAAATCATCGAGGGTGACGCTACAAATTGGCCACTGGTTTATCTTCTCATCGATGGAACCTCGTGGTTCGGCGTAGGTGACGTTGTTGACCATGCACACCCACACAGGGTCAGTGACCCCAGTGGTGGTGTTGGTGATATGACTTGTACCGAAAACGATAACTCGAGTCCCTATTGAGACGAGAAGAGATTTTAGAGGGTGAGCGGGTGAGGATGATAAGGCACTGGGTAGTGGGCGCACCTCGAAAGATGTAGGACATGAACGCGAGCCCAGTGGTGACATGCTGAGAACCTCCATGCGTCTGCCCGTAGCGGTTGTACGGATTCTCGAATGTGTCGCGTGTGATCTCCCACTCTCCTACCCAGGAAATATCGGGGTCGGTATCGTCAATCGCCACCCATCGCGTCCGCTGGTCGATCGGGTCCATCCGTGGCGTATCTCGTCTTGAATTCTGTAGTTAACGGTTAGAAAAGCGTAAGACCCTTTCACGAACTACGATGACGGAAAAATGAAACTCACCTTGAAGACCGCCCAGGAGCTTTCAAGAACTACGAGACTTCACTGAGGCGGGACAGGTCTGTAGTGGGAGCCTGGAGGTGGAAGGGCAACAAAAACGTGCTCGGTTGGTTTTCATTCTGGCCTCAGGCACACACGTCAAGACGTTGTTCCGTAATTCAATCAACAGGTGGTGTGCGTGCCGAATACGAAGCGCCCGTGGATTGACGGGCGTCCAGGTCTCGTGCTGATGGCCGACCCAATTCGGGATGGTGCCGGGTTGGGCGCTTACTTTTCCTCCCCTAAGTACGGACATTACCTCCTCGGACTTCAGCCTACTTAATAGTGATGAGCCCCTTGGGATGGGTGAATTCAAGGTCATAATTGGTACGTACAGTGTCTACCACATTGGAATTCGCGTACCTGAGAAAGAAGATCGCCACGGAAATTTGAATGCGTTATCATGGAATTTGGCCTCCACGGGCGCCTCGCACTAAACGACGCTTGCACTAATGGGGAGGCATGCGGAGCGGCGCGCCGATTGGGTGCCTATAAGTGAATCCAAACGTTCGGTTCGGACTCTTTGATCGACTTCTTCCATCAAGGGACGCGGGGGGTGTAAATATCGACGCGTGTTTCATGAAAGGGACTGGTGCTCACTGCTCCTTTCTTTCTCCCTTGCTTTCACCTCATCTTGTCTTCTCGGCCAACGACAAGGTACGACATTGTCACGTTGTCCTGGTCCTTGCGTTCTGACCCTGCCTATCCTAGGAACAAGCGCAACCTCTCTTATGGCATGGCAAGATCGTGATAAACCACAAGTCCGGTGGGCTGTCGTTGACGACGTCGAGATGACGTTCAATGGCGATTGGGAGTCTACGAGCTTTTCAGCAGAGCCGTACAGTCCGAATGGACCTCCATACGGCGGGAGTCAGCATGTAACGACCACCAGTGGCTCCGTGACATACATTGTTCGAGGTGAGTACCCGAAGCTAATTCGCCCACCATCCATTCCTAACTGGTTTCGTACTTGGTTTCCTCGATTTAAAGGGACCGACGTGACAGTATTTGGGACGAACCTGCGCGCTAATGCTACGTCAGGTGGTACTAGCTTTAGCCGTGGGTGCATGGCCGACGGAGTTCTCTACCCTCAAGAGTCGTTATTGACAGACCGATCGATGAACCGGGTCCCTATCTGTCGCTTTCCGAAACTCAACGGAACCACTCACAACATCACTGTAGAGGCCAACGCATCGAGGGAACGCCCCATTTTCATCGACTATCTGATGTACAAGCCGTTACCAGTGGACGCGGCGACTCTGCATCCCACTGTTCTCGTGGAGCACACCCAGCATGGAATCGTTTATGACGCTGGAAAGTGGTTCTTGGACTACCAGAGGGACTTCTCACAGACAAGCGAGAAAGGAGCAAAAGTCGTCATTAACTTTAACGGTGTGTCTAAGATTTCTATTCGCACTCCTAATATCACATACATACTGATCAGACTCGACCAACAGGTACCAGGGCGGCATGGGTAGGCTGAATCTACAATCCCGGGTATTACGACGCAGAACCTATATATGGGTCATGGGCTCTTAATGGAGGTCCCTCGCAACGTTTCGAAGTTCCAAGAATCGACCCCCGGGCAAACGCATCGGTCGTTTATGCGCCTGCCGCTCCCATGTTCATGACACCAAGGCTTGCAAACCGTGGCCCTCACAAGCTCGTCGTGCGCCATGAGTCTCCCCGTAGCTCCTTCACGTTCGACTACCTGGTAGTCGAAGAAGGAGATATTCTTTGCCCGCCAGGAGACTCATACCTCGCTTCTCAGGACGCCAGAAAGCCGGTGGCAGCGATTGTAGGAGGAACGATTGGAGGCGTGCTCTTCGTAATTCTTTGCTCTGTCATTCCCTACGTCTATAGAAGAAAGAACCGTCTCCGGGGACCCAAGTCGAATATGACGACAGCCGCAATCTCACCGCTACCAACGTCGACAACGACCTCCAGTCGCAAAGCAGCAAACCTGCCAACCGAGACGAAACAAGAGCCCGAACCAGTCGGGATCCAACATTCGAGCCACAGGGACTCAGGCCTTCCAGGTATTGGAAATGTATCGTCACAGGCTAGACCAAATCTCAGCTATCCCTTGGCCACGCTGGACGGTTGTGATATTCCCCATTATCAAGTCGCGTCGACGGATGGATCGGATTGTGACGAAAGGGCCCGGCGTGGCTGTTAGGCGTCGTCGGGGTAGTTTCGGCACACGGTGAGCTCAACACACGCAGAGTGACGGTTTAACGTGGTGGTGGATTGAACTAGAGAATCGGTCTGCGACTACGACAAATGTCTGGACGTAATCTAAAGGTAATAGCAAATAGGTACAAACAGAAAGATAACGAATGGATAAGATAAGAAAAGAATCAAACGGGAAGGAAAGAGTCCGTGACGCTACACACGCCCTCCTGCTATCCTGCGAGGATAGCACACAGCAAAGGGGATCAGCCTAAGCGGACGCGTCGACCATCTCGGCGTCCTTGGGCTCATCGTTGGCCTGGACGGTTCCGTCCTCGGTATTGGGGATGGGTGATTTGGTGGTGCTCTTGGTGGCGGCGGCTTTCGCAGCCTCGAGCTTCGCGAGTCGGTTCTTTCCTGAAGAACGCTTGCGCTTTTTCTTGGGGGTATCGGTGCTGCTGGTCTTCGCTTCGGAGGGTTTAGTGACCACAGCGGGGGTGAGAGCGATGGGAATGGGTTTAGCGGGGCGGTTGTTAGCAGGTTTGCTGGTCGCGCGAGCGGCTGTGTTGGGCTTGGCGCGGGAGTTTGCCTTAGCGCGTTTGGCGCCCAAAACGGCGTCCCACATTTGGTCGTTGAGCCAGGCCTCTTGCTCGGCGTTGAGGGAGTTGGACTGGGGTAGGAAGGGGATGCCGGCATGATGCTTTTGGATGCCGAAATCGTCGAGGGTAAAAGGCTTGGTGTCGAGGAATTCGGACACCATGTTTTCGGTATCCCACTCGATGAAGCGCCGGGGGTCGTTGGGGTCCATTCCGGCGTTGATGTGCATGACGATGACGTTGTGATTGTAGGGAAGGCGATGGGGTACGCCTGAGGATCGGATGAACTGGTCAGCCTTGACAATCTCGGCAAGGTGGCCAGCGGAGATGAGGTGCTCGGTGTTGAGGATAGTGAGAACGAATAGGGTGGCTGCGAGCCGTTTTAGGTTGGCGTTTGACAGGCCCTTGATGGGCTGTGGGGCGTTGTCGTAAACAGAAGCCTTGGGTGCCATAATCGACGACGACGAAGGTGGGGAGCGGCGGAGATTGGTGGTAAGAGCGAAAGAGAAGGAATGTGGGAACGATGAGTAGATAACACAAAAATAAAAGAGCGTGATCTCGACGAGCGGGTAACTACGGAAATTCAAAGTCAAAGAGCCAATGAAAATCGAAAAGGGTATCTTGGCTAAGGCCAAATGGAGAATAGGTGAGAATTTTTGGGTATACGGGAGCTCGATGTGAGCCAATGGGAGTCAATCCGAGGTGACTTGAGGGTCATCTCGGGGAGCTTTGCCTTTGCCAAGGGGTAACTTGTGGATGTCGTCAACACCCATGAGCTCCAAATAGGCTTTCAGGGCGGGGAGTTTCGACAGATCGTGATACGGAATCCAAGTTACGTCTCCTGCTTTCCACAGAACCTCGAAAACGGAGTCTTTGCCGGAATTGACATGCGACAGGACTCTGTCAAGCGCCCATTCCGGGCTCTTATCTTCCGAATTCGGATCGATTTGGTCTGCAGCTCGCCCAGGGAATAAACGGTCATCGTTGGGGATGTGAACTCGCAGCAACGACGCGTGAAACACGTCGTGAACGCCGCGTTGTTTGAGTTCGGAGGGGAGGTCAATCCGGAAGGATTGATTTCCGAAGTCCTCAGTGATCCGGTAAGGTCCAATGTAGCGCGGGACCAGCTTTCGTGACAACCCCTTAAAGGTGATGTTCTTGGTGGATAGGTACACCAAGTCTCCATTCACGAAGGGAGCCATCCGACGTCTTTTATTGGCGTCACGAGTTTGCTTGACTCGGGCTGCAATGATGCTGTCATGGGCGGACATCAGAGCCAGTTTCCTTTGTTGTGCAAAGTTTCGAACAGCGGGGAACTCAGATCGGGATGCCGAGTTCCAAATCATGGCTCGAGGCGTCATCCCAGTGTTCAAGAAGAACGGGGAGAAGCCAGTCGAGTCAGATCTCGCCATGTTCAGAGCAAATTCGATGGCTGGGAGTTTCTGCACCCAATCCGTTTGCTTCGAGTTAACAAGCTCACGGATCATTTGTACCAAGGTACGGTTTGCTCGTTCTGTCGCGCCATCGGTTTCAGGATGGTAAGCGCTCGACATCTTGAGTTTGGGTCCAATCAAATCATTCAGATGTTGCCAGAACGTGCTAGTGAATAGTACGTCCCGATCCGAAATGATTCGCCTCGGAAGTCCGTGGAGTTTGTACACAGATTCAAACATTAACTCAGCCATCTGTTTCGCGTTGTAATCCGTTCGACTAGGCACCAGATGGACCATCGAAGTCAGGAGGTCAATAACGACGGTAATACTGTCGAAGGTGCCATCTCTATTCGACGATTCGGGTAAAGGCCCGACGAAATCGACGCCAATCGCTTCCCATGGGTAGGAGGCGACCTGGAGAGGATTCAGAAGGCCGTAGGGTCTCTGATTGTCGGGTTTGTTTCGTCTACAGGTGACTAGTGAAGGACATGGGTCACCCATGGCTCACTCAGGTCTGACCCTCACCCATACCCACCAAAACCCATACCCATGAGTGTGGGTGTGGGTTTCCGTGGGTTTATGTGGGTGTGGGTGTGGGTCTGAAACCCATGGGTTTTGGAAGCATGGGTAGAGTGGAATTGTGAGTGATTGGAGTACAAATAGATATTGGACATAAATATTTAACTTAATAGAGTAGATAGCATTAATACAAGAGCAATTGAGGTCAAAATAGTTGCATACAGAAGCATTTTTCCCATTGGCACTTGAGACTCCAGTAACCATTCGAGGGTCAGGGCGGTTCTGCGAGTGGGTGCGTCACCTGTGGTGAAGGACATAGATTAGCCTGACCCATACCCACCAACCCACAGGGTCAGCCCAACCCATGTCCTTCACTACAGGTGACGCACGTATCGCAGAACGCTTTGATGTTGCTGACCATATCTTTCCAGTACACATGGTCCCGAAGATAACTGGTCGTCTTTGCAGGTCCGAGATGCGCCAGAAGCGAGTGAGCTTCGGATATGACGATCTCTCGGGCACTACGTCTGTTGATAAGGCCCTTGGGTATGCACAAACGCGATCGTCCTTCGTCTAGAAGGTAAATGAGCTCGTTTTCAACCTTAAAGTTGCGATGCTCATCTGGATTCTCAAGGATTGACTTGAAGACAGGATCATTCGCATACAGAGGCTTCAGATCCTTCAAGAAGTCGATTCCCCAAGGTCCAGTGCTTGCAGCAATGACCTCTACGAGTGACGAATCGGGCAAGGTGTCCAAGCGTTCGGATTCCTGCTCTGTACTCAGACTTAGGTGGGTTTCAACAGGTGCGGGTTGGTGATCATTGCCTGCGCCTGAAGTCGCCGATTGGTTTGCAGCGTTAGCAAGTCGTTCTGACCGTCTGTTTACAGGTCTCTCAACGATTGGTGATGGTGTTTCAACGATGGGAATAGGTGGTGTAGGGTTGGAGTCCCTACTCGCGCCCTCCCTTCGTTCTCCTGGGTCCCTGGGGCCTTTGAGAACGAAGTGTTTCGCCATCCGTTTCGCAAATTCAGCGCCAGTCTCGGGACGACCGGTCTCCGCAGGGGGAACCGTCTTTCTCAACCTCGAAGATCGCCTAAGAGGTACGCCCTCGAGATCTTTTGCACGGGGAGAAACAGCCAAAGCTTCCAATGACGTTAGGATCGGCATTGGTGGTTCCACCGACGTGTTTGCATCGTCGTTTAGCACGTCATGGGCGGTAAATTCACTCCGAGATCGTACAGTGCCAGGTGAGTCGTTCGAATACATGCGAGATAATGAATCTGCGAGCACATTCTCAACGCCAGGCACGTACACAACCTCGAAATCGAAAATCCCAATCTTTTCGAGCCATCTAGCTTGTCTGCCCGACAGGTCCTTTTGGTTCAACAGGTGAGTTAACCCCTTGTGGTCCGTAACCCACTTAAATCGAGTGCCTTGCAGAATATCCCGATGGCGAAGCATCGTCTCAACTCCAGCAAGCATCTCGATCTCGTGAGTGGGGTAATTCTGCTGCGCAGGGTTCAGTTTTGCTGAATAAAACGCGGCGACCTTGGCAGTTCGCCAATCGTCGCCCTGGCTAACAACTCCAGAGATGCCAGTCGCACATCCGTCGGTAACGAGCCAAATTTGGGGCGCATCCTTGTCATAAGACAGAGGGATCCGACGATGCTCTCTAGCATCATGAACAAGCTGTTTTACCTCTTCAAAGGCCCGTTGTTCCGTGTGAGTCCACCTGAAAGGCACTGTATCACCTGTGATAGAGCTCAAAACGCCCATAGGGACTCGAACACCAGGAACATTGTCAGCCAAATAGCCAACCGAGCCGAGGAACCCACGCAAAAGATCGCGGTTGGTCGGAGTCTTCCAATTAAGGACAGACTCGACCTTATGAGGATCCATTCGGATGCCCTCAGAGTCAACAATATGACCGAGAAGCTCCAATTCGTCGGCTAGAAATCGAAGTTTCCCTTTACTAAGGTACAGTTTCTCTCTTTCCAACACATCCAAGACTTGTTTGACATGACCCATGTGCTCCTCCAAGGTGTCCGAATAGATAATGATATCATCCAGATACACATCCATGAAAACACCAATGAAAGGCGAGAACAAATGGTTCATGAGTGCTTGGTAAGTAGCTGGAGCATTGCAATCCCCTTGCTGAATGACATGGCTGACGATATTTCCATCTGGAGTGGTCACAGCAGTGCGATGAACGTGCTCTGGGACCACTCGGATCTGCTCGTACGCAGCCTTCAAGTCAAGCGCGGTTCGAAACGGCTTTTTAGCGACTCTGCGCAGAATTCCGTCGATATCCGGTAGGGGCGAAGTCATCTTTCGCGTGTTCTTATTCCGTTCGCGAAGATCAAACACGGTTCGAAGTTCAGGTTTGTCTTTCTTGGGTTTGGGGATGAGCAGCATTGGAACAGTGTTGCTCGCCAAGGTGACTTCCCAACGACCGGTTTTCAGGTAAGCTTCGCGCTTTTTTGACCATTGCTCTCGAAACATCTCGGGGCAACGCGAGGGTCGCCATGGGTAGACCTTACTCTCGTCGATTAACGGGATCGAATGATTTATGGCCCGAAGAGGAGGTAAACCCGTTTCCTCAACGTCCTTGCACAAAGGATCGGCCATTTCCTCGAGAATTCGACGAGCCTTCGCGATATGCGGTTGCTCAACGTCGATACTATTCACCAGAGGTCGAGTATCCGTTCCAGATTCGATAGGAACCGAATCCTTGCTCCCAACAACAACCCTAGCTGGATTGAGACCAATACAGATCTGATGTTGGTAAATGAACGGAGTTCCAAGGATAAGGTCCACTGTGAACCCCGCATTGGTTGAAGATCAACCAAGTCTCGACTGAATTTCAGCTTTCAACCTAACGACGACTGAGTGTAGGTTGAAGTTCGGACAACCTACTTGGTAGGTTGATCATCAACCTAAGGAGGTAACCAACGGTGGGTTGGATATCATCCAACATTGCCGAGATCAGAGACCGTGGTTGGGCAGGTGTCTGCCGGCGCGCGCGATCGTACTGTGCTCGAGGCTTTATTGGTTTTACATCTCATTCTAGCGCGTGGTATTCATTTTTCCTTTGTAAACGGATGCAGGTAGATCTTCTTTCAATGAATTCCACATTTTTTTAGCTTACATCGCGACGGACTCCAATATTTTGTGAATTCAAATACGCGGGTACTCTGAGTTTGCTACGACGGCGGGGCCCAGCAGGCGGCACCGCTTGCACTAGGGTATTCTGGAAGTGGTATCCCTTCTTTCCTGAGTGTGTCCTCTAGCCGTTTGATCCATTCGTTGAGAACCCTTATCTTTGTCTCCTTCCATTCGTGTTTCCTTCGAAGAGCATTGTGTTCGGCCTCGGCGTTTATTTGTCGGAACTCGATGAGTCGGGAGATGCTTTCCATGATTGCCTCGTTTAGGAGGTTCTCTTCTTTAAGGATTCTCGACGCCCTGGATTCGGCTGGTTTATACAAAATGTTAGCTATCACGGCGATGACAAGGTGATATAGCATGCGCACCAGCGTTGTGGCCAGTAGACCCCACATCGATACCAATCTGATCGTGCTTTCGC